CTGACCTGAAAGGATTTCAGTGGTGATGGATATTCGCGGTTTATTTGGCTAGGTGACTTGAGGTAAAAAAGTCGGGAGCGTACGAACTCAGAAGTAGGTCGGTTGGACTTCCTACGAAGTTCTGAGTGAATTCTGGAGGTACTGAAATACGAGATAGTTCAGGGCACCGTTTTGCGAGGTGTTTCGAGATTGATAAATATTCGCGTATGTGCGTATGTGTTTTATATTTTCGAATTGGCACCTAGGGTATTGTTGAAAATTTCCCTTTTTCATTTCATTAGGTTATCATTAGGTTACAGCATTTCCCTATATTTTACAGGGAGGAGCGATTAAGTGGGTCTCTTAATAGTTTCTCAGAGTTGTATTTCATTGTGTTTTTATATCAGATGTAGAATTCAGGTACGGCAAAGCTACGTCCTGAGTGATGTTATTTCAATTTTCAGAGGAATAATCCTGTCATTTTGTTAAAGTGGTTTATTCATATTTTTCACATGGTTATAATTATATGTTTCTTCTTCTTTCATATTTCACACAGTTGAAATAATGTTCACTTGGCATAACCAAGCCATTGCTTTACGACGATAGAAAGGTAAAAAATTCAACTGTTGACCAAGTCGCCCACTAATTCTCAATCCGTGTGATCAGGACGGATTTCAAACTTTTTCTGATCTGGTGGCAGCAACTCTCGTGCTACCAAACTAAATTAAAAAATAAATACTGTCGGCTGAACGATCCCATTTATAGAGTGGTGTATTTTTCTGGTGCGAGTATAACTGAGATAATTATTATATATCATTAGTAGTATATAGGCATCGCCAATTCAGACCCGACGGTCATATATTACACCAAGTATTTCTTTGAAAGTTCTGACATCCAACCTTCCAATAGCGATAGTTGTTTGGAGCCAAACTTGACTTATTTTTTTTCAACTTTTTCAAGTTAACTTTTTCTAAGGTCGAAGGTATATACGACATTGCTTCAGTTCCTTTATGCGTTGTTTCGATACGTTCATTTCTTTCTTTAAAGATTTTCTGGTATGCGCAATGTGTTTGTTGTGCGTTATGACAGATCGCGTTGCTAGCTGATGCCCCGCGAACGCTTACAGCTGCGAATCTACGTTCTGCCTGGTTGAGGCATCATTATCAAGCATCGGATTTTTGCTGATTTTCACAGATTAAATTTCCATGTCTTTACCAGGAGTACGGTGGAATGCCAGCGGAATACGAAGGAGAGGTAGTTGTGAAGGAGTACTGCGCGAATTGTGACCAAATTTGTGAACACTCATGTTGCAAATAAATCTTCATTCAACTATTCAAACATATTTGGGCTTCTCGCAGTTGAGCTCAACTATTTTGTTGTTGTGCGAAATATTTTCTGCTTATTTGGAAGCTACCACACACCTCTGGTGATTGACTAATTCATTTGGATTGTCCCAATGAATGTTCTCCATCGGATTGTATTTATATGTCAAATGACATATCGCTAACGGAATGAAAAACTGGTTTGATGATGTTCTTGTATTTTATTTTGTTCGTACCTTCCATGCATATACTCGCGTTTCTATTGGCGTTTGTTATGTCCATAAGCTTCTCATAGGAGTTCCAGCCCTGTAGACTCTAGAGAATATTTTCTCTCTCTGAGATTATCACAAGATATCGGTTCGTAAAGGCCTGGGGTTACGTCGGAAATGAAACTTCCTTCAAGTCTGATAAGCAAACCAGCGTTCGGCACATGGTGACCCCGAAATCAATCAGTTTGACGCGGCTTGTAAACGACATGAGTTAGCATATTCATAGCACCAATCTCTCGAAGGAACATTATGGAAGTTTCGACAAGTTGCTTCGAACGCGGTATTACTTGGAGAGCCTTCGACACATTTACACCTGCTCATACTATCTACGAATTTGTTATTTGAGCTGATTCGTAGTGGCCTAAAAACCACACAGTGAGTCATGAGTTCATTCATGATTACGACGTATTACCTTTGGGAAAGGATTGAAACTTTTGAAGTGTTGAGTAACAGATATATTCGAAACGATTGCTCATTGTCTGAATTTATTCGAATATGTCTTATTTATTGAATTTGTTTTCTGAAAACTTAATTGGTGATAATGGAAGTTATTATGATTCCAATCAGTGATATATATGAAAAGTCTTTATAAAATTTTGGTTCGTATTGAAACACGCCTGAAGACATTATTGTATAGTGAAAAAATTTACAATAAGTTTTGTGAATTGTTAAATGAAAAACTGATGGCGAAGTGTTATTCAAATACGAACTTAATGCATCTGAGATAAATTCAAGAAGTAAAAATTTGTAGCTATTTTGAACTTGTAACCTTTATTTATGTTTATATGATATTAATTCTTGTAGACAATTATATATTCCCTCCCCCTCTCTTAGGTAATATGTGGGAAATGTACTGAGTTTTTCAATATTGAGAACATAGTAAATATACTCACCAATGATAGTAGAAATGTTTAAGAGCATTTTAATTTCAATAACAGCAAGTTTTCTCTTATCAAAAGGGCCAATCGTGCACAAAACTTCAGAACATAGGACTTCGTTGGTGCTGCAGTTGAGATAGAAAGTTGTGTTTGAAAAAATAGTGATTTCTTCATCATTTATTTTTATATCTTCCTTTCGATTGGTTTGTGAAATATTTTGGAAGACTTCCACCTGTCTTTTACGTCTTTCAGGAATGTTTTCTAACTGAATACCCTCGGTGAAAACGCTTCGACACGTTCCAAGTTGGTTGCCGAGAGTTGTTTTAGGATTATATAATGTCAAGAAGGGTATTTTGGCTGAAGGAGTAATGTAATAATGGGGAATATTTATTTTAACAGTTATCATTTCTATCGGGCTCACTCCGGTCTTTTCAATCTGGAAAAAACAGAGTTCTTTGAATTTTTCGTATATGAAGACAAAATAATCAAACACTGTGAATATATCTAAACTGATATTATAAAGAGTGATTATTTGATTTTTTGTATGTTTGTGATAGATAAACGTCGTCAAGGGGTAGCTTGTAATATCCTCCAAAGCACGTGCCTGAGGGAGCACATGCCTTTCAACCCCAGCAAAACTGCGATAATCCCCTTCACTAGGAGGAGAAAATTGGACGATCTAACGCCACTTTTTCTCAATGGTGAGGTTATTCCATTTGGAACGGAGGTGAAATATCTTGGCAATGTCCTTGATAAAAAACTCACCTGGAACGCTCTCTTGGAAACAGTTTTACACAAAGCCAGACTGTCCCTATGATCATGTCAAAGGATTTGTGGTAAAACATGGCGTTTAGGTCCCAACAAATCCATTGGATTTAAGTGATGATTGTCAGACCACTGGTGCACTCATGGTGCAATATTCTGGTGGCCGAAGGCTTTACAGAAAACGGCCCAGGCGAAGGTCTCTGGCTCACAGAGACAGGCTTATCTGGCCATCAGTGGTCTCATCAATACCATACCGTCAGCGTCCATGGAGATCTTTCTAGATCTACCTTCTCTCCACATTTTTCTGGAAAGAGAGGATAGATGGACTGCATATAGACTTGCCAATTCCACAAATCAATTTAATGCAGAGTGCAATATTGTTGGTTGACACTGGAAGTCACATCATTCTGGACATGACCTCTGACTTTATGCGTCCAACTGTCAACTACGAACTGCCTTATAAATTACTGTTCCCGAGTAGAGAGGAATGGATCCTCCGGGAGAAGGAAATATTAAGAGCAGATAGTTACTGGTTTACAGATAGATCAAAAACACCTTCCAGTTCTGGTGCAGGTGTTTTCAGTCGCATACCCAGGACAGATATATCAACCTGCCTAGGAACTTATGCGACTGTATTTCAAGCAGAATTGTGTTGGAAGCTCTTGGCTCCTACCAGGCAACGTCTAAATTGGTAGTAAATTGCCAAAACGACTCTTCTCTATAGGAAGATTTAACAGATTGTCTCTGGTCTGGATTCCTGGCTATATTGGCCTGAAAAGCAATGAGGCTGCTCACTCCCTTGCAAAGGAGGGTGCTGCAAGCAGCTTCATCGGACCAGAACCTATCATTGGCATTGCTTTAGGCTTTGCCAAACACAGATTGAACACCTGGATGGCAAGAAGATTTATGGACTTCTGATTGGCGTGAAGTTATCCACAGATTTCTGGCCACACATGCTGACGTAGAGGAAAATAAAAATCTGTGGTTGGGATATGAAATTATAAGCACCCGTACTAATATCTGTGGCTGGAAATACTTATTCACTATAGGTTGAACGTGAAATTATTGAGACGATTTGGTCTATAAATTTTTTATAGAATCTTGAGTAGATTGACGCGTTGATAACCGTTTTCTCATCAACAATACAGATTTAGGAAAGAATAATATTGGAAATATCAGACTTCCTTTCCCATACTCAATGTAGAAATGACAAGATGATGTGCGTTCATGAAAATCACACAACTCTCATAGAATCTTGGGTAGATCAACAAAGTGAAAATGGTTTTCTTGTCACCCATACAGATTTCGAGAATAAAATTGTTGAAACGATCAGACTAACTCTTTAAACCCCTTGTGGAATTGAAACCAGATGATGTGCGTGCATAAAAATTGAACAAGTCTCATGGAATCTCGGGTAGATTAACATAGTGATAACAGTTATCTTGTTACCCATGCAGATTTCCAGGAAAAAATGTTGTAAAAATCAGACTCACTTTTTAAAACACCTTGTAGAATTGGAACCAGATGATGTGTGTTCATGAAAATCACACAACTCTTAAAGAATCTTGGGTAGATCAACATAGTGAAAATCGTTTTCTTGTCACCCATACAGATTTCCATAAAAAATTGTTGCAACAATTAGACGAACTTTTTGAAACCCCTTGTAGAATTGGAACCAGATGATGTGCGTGCATAAGAATCGAACAAGGGTTATGGAATCTCGGAGCTCAGACTCTCTTTTTAAAACACCTTGTAGAATTGGATCCAGATGATGTGCATTCATGAAAATCACACAACTCCATGAGATTTGTTCGATTTCAATGCACGCACATCATCTATTTCCAATTCTACAAGGGGTTTTGAAAAGTTAGTCTGATTGTTTCAACAATTTTTTTTTTCGAAATCTGTATGGGTAACAAGAAAACGGTTTTCACTATGTTGATCTACCCAAGATTCTATTAGAGTTGTGTGACTTCCATGAACGCACATCTCCTGGTTCCAATTCTACAAGGAATCTCAAAAAATGAGTCCGATTGTTTCAACAATTTTTTTTTCTAAATCTGCTTGGGTGACAAAAAAACGGTTTGCACTATATTTATCCACCCAGGATTCTTTAAGAGTTGTGTGATCTTCATGAACGCACATCTTCTGGTTGGAATTCTACAAGGAATCTCAAAAAATGAGTCTGATTGTTTCAACAATTTTTTTTTAATCTGTTTGGGTGACAAAAAAATTGTTATCACTACGTCAATCTACCCAAGATACCACAAGACTATTTAGATTTTTAATGCACGCACATCGTCTGTTGGGGTGGCGTAAGTAGTTGTTTCCAACTCGATTTCTTCGGCACCCGATGTAACATTTCCGTCAAAATGTTCCGGATCAGTTGTAATGTCCGTTAGGGAGATGTGATGTAGAAGCTCTCCTTCTTTGTCATGTTCCACTGCGCCAACTTCAGCCGTTGTTCTCCTGGCTACTTCTAATGTCGTCGAGGTCAGCACTGCATCCGCTCGAGCCGTTGGTGTATTGGCTTTATCAGTATTCCCGGAATTGCGGTTTCCGGCAAGGAGACCAGTTAAAGAGTTCCTCCTCGCCGTATCCCTGGATATAAATGGGCGGCCTGGCGGTGTGGTTGCTTCAATAGCGGCCAGGCGTCTCATCACAGCTGACTCTTCCTCAGGGATCTGTATCTGCAACTCCTGATGGTATTTCTCAGGGTGAGCCCTTCTCTCGTGTAATCTGACTCCCCCGAAAGTTTCGTAAAATTTTCCACAGTGCATGCAGTGCTGCCTGTCTCTAATTCCACAAGTTTGCTTGTGGCGCAGTAACGCTCGCTGTGAGCCACTTACTTGACCACACTTATCACACTGGTGTGGCTCCAGTGGCGCGCGGAGTGAGCCCTGTCCACCGGTTTGGGTCACGGTAACAGTTTTCTTCTTACTTTGCTCACTCCTGAGCGAATCCGGGCCGGAACCCGGTGTTGTTTTGCTCCCGGAGCTGTGAGGGAGCTTCCCTCCTGAATTCGCCCTAACTGATGAATGTTGGTCAGGAGTAGTTTTCGTCGACGTGGAGGCTCTCATAGTTGTTTCTCTTGAAGAAACCGGCGTTATCTGATTTGTTCCAACCGTTTTCTTCATATTTGGATTCCAATTAATAACCTCTTGACGACCTGGTATTTCTTGCGCTGCCTAGTAAACTCACCAGAGTTCCAGGGGATGCGATTATGGTAAGGAGTACACCCCCAGTCAAACGTTAAGCAGCTAACAAGTAGAATTTCCTTGCACAAAAATCTACTTAAGATTCCATGAGACTTGTTCGATTTTTATGCACGCACATCATCTGGTTCCAATTCTACAAGGGGTTTCAAAAAGTTAGTCTGATTTTTGCAACAATTTTTTATGGAAATTTGTATGGTGACAAGAAAACGGTTTTCACTATGTTGATCTACCCAAGATTCTATGAGAGTTATGTGATTTTCATGAACGCACATTATATGGTTTCAATTCTACAAGGTGTTTTAAAAAGTGAGTCTGATTGTTTGAACTTTTTTTTTCTCAAAATCTGTTAGGGCGAGAAGAAAATTGTTACCACTACGTCAATCTACCCAAGATACCACAAGACTATTTAGATTTTTAATGCACGCACATCGTCTGGTTTCAATTCTACAAGGGGTTTCAAAATTTTAGTCTGATTGATTCAACAATTTTTTTCTCGAAATCTGTATGGGTGACAAGAAAAGCGTTTTGACTAGGTCAATCTACCCGAAATTCTATAACACTTACGTCATTTTCATGAACGCACATCATCTGGTTCCAATTCTACAAGGGGTTTTAAAAAGTGAGTCTGATTGTTACAGAAATTTTTCCTGGAAATCTGTATGGGCGACAAGATGAGTGTTATCACTACAACAATCTATCCAAATTTTCATAAGACTAGTTAAGGTGACAAGAATATTGTTATCATAACCTCACTCTACCTAAGACTCCATGAAATTTGTTTGATTTCAATGCACGCACATCATCTGGTTCCAATTCTACAGGGGGTTTTGAAAAGTTAGTCTGATTGTTGCAACAATTTTTTTATGGAAATCTGTATGGGTCACAAGCAAATGGTTTTTACTATGTTTATCTAGCAAGATTTTATAAGAGTTGTGTGATTTTCATGAACGCACATCTTCTGATTCCAATTCTACAAGGAATCTCAAAAAATGAGTCCGATTGTTTCAACAATTTTTTTCTGTTTGGGTGACAAGAAAATTGTTATCACTAGGTCAATATGCCCTAGATTCCATGAGACTTGTTCGATTTTAATGCACGCACATCATCTGGTTCCAATTCTACAAGGGGTTTTGAAAAGTTAACCTGATTGTTCCAACAATTTTATTCTCAAAATGTATATGTGTGACAAGAAAACGGTTCCCACTACGTCAATCTACCCAACATTCCATAACACTTGTTCGATTTTTATGCACGCACATCATCTGGTTCCAATTCTACAAGGGGTTTAAAAAAGTCAGTCTGATTGTTGCAACGATTTTTTCTTGGAAATCTGTATGGGTGACAAGAAAACGGTTTTCACTATGTTGATCTACCCGAAATTCAATAATAATTGCGTGATTTTCATGAACGCACATAATTTGATTCCAATTCTACAAAGTGTTTTAAAAAGAGAGTCTGATTGTTTCAACATTTTTTTCCTGGAAATCTGTATGGGTGACAAGATAATTGTAATGATAACAGTATCATTACAATTATCTACCCGAGATTCCATAACACTTGTTTGATTTTTATGCACACACGTCATCTGGTTCCGTTTCTACAAGGGGTTTAAAAAGTTAGTCTGATCGTTTTAACAATTTTATTCTCAAAATCTGTTTACATTACGGTTTACATTATGTTGATCTACCCAAGAAACTATGGAAGTTGTATGATTTTGATGAGTGCACATCATCGGGTATCATTTCTACGTGGGGTATTGGAAAGTTAGTCTGATATTTCCAATATTATTCTTCCCTAAATCTGTATTGTTAATGAGAATAACTTAAAAAAGTTATACACCAAATAGTCGTAATAATTGCACGTTCAACCTATAGTGATAGGTATTTCCAGCCACAGATATTAGTGCGGGTGCTAATAATTTCGTATCCCAACCACAGATCTTTATTTTTCTCTACGTCAGCATGTGTGGCCAGAAATCTGTAGATAACTTCACGCCAATGGACTTCTGGCAGAATCTTCCAGGATTTGCTCACTCCAAGGCGTTTATTCACCCTTCCAAGCTTGATACCAAACAGATGTTGAACTACAGTAGGGATCAGCTAAGATGTCTAACAGGCCTTCTTACAGGTCACTGTCATCTGATTGAATCATCATATGCAGAGATTCGGACTGCCAGAAGATAGTGTGTGTCGCCTCTGTTTGGAAAATGATGAAACAGCAGAGCACATACTTTGTGCCTACCCCGCTTGGGACTGAATCAGGTTTTTAAAGTTCGGAAGAGCCGTACTCTTACTATCTGACCTGAAAGACCGCTCACCATACAAACTAATTGGCTTCGTTAAGAAGCTGGGTTTATTTGGTCAAGTGTGAATAGACCCTTGCGGGTTACGATGGAGGGTCGAAAAGACCAACCCACTTTGGATTTAACATAAATTAACCTAGATGAACTGCGAAAGTACCTTAAAGTTTAAAAACTCTTTCATCTATAAAATGCTGAACAAGATGTTCCTTAATGATCTTCATGAAAAATAAATGATAGGTTACTACATGATTTATGGTCCAAAAATGTTCCATTATGAAAATACAAGGTGTTGAAGTTGAAAAAAAAGGAAGATATCTAATAGTAGGGCTATGCGGATTCTAGGCCACTTCAAGGCCACTGGAGGTGGCCTGAAGTCAGCATATTATTTTGGCCTTGAATCTGCATTAGATTTTGACATATACGCTGGGTCTTGAAAATTTCCGTCGCTTAAGATCGAATGTCGGTCTATGTCGAATGGGGTTGATGCGGTGGTTCACCGCATCAATTGTTCGTGTTGGTAACTGAGATTTTTAGTGTCTGATGCCACATTGTAGTATTGTTTGCTGTCATTGGTCGTGTGAAAGATGACGCTGGCTGTTATTAATCGAATGTGGTATATTATTGCTTACAAAAAATGGCAATATCGGCAAATCGAACCAGCACATGGAGGTGTGCTGGTTCGATTTTCTATAGGTTGTTGGGTGAATGATGGTGGGCGGGGTGGTCTTGGCTAGTCGTGAGGCTACTGGTTGTTGTGTTGGGAGAGCCTGGCAAAAATAACTGTCAGAGATGAGATGCGTGCTGATTGGCTTTTATGTTGAAAAAACATAGAGATGTGTTGTTCTTGTTGCGAATGGTTGTTGTATGTGTGGCAGATGGCGACGATGGTGTATGGACGCATGAGGTGAGAATCGAAATTGCTGTCGAGGTCTCCTGATTCATTGTTATGTGGAAACATTATATAAAAACATGTTTGAGAGTTTTCAAGTGCGTGGGTGCATAACTCACCGCCCAGGAATGCGCGCAGTTATGTTCACTTCATTTCAAACATGGAAACATTTCTGTTTTTGAATCTTGAAATCTAATACCTAACCAACAAAAAAGAAAGCAACTAGAAAGCACCAAATGCAGGCTATTCACTCCGAGTCGTGTATTTCTTGGGGGGGAATGACGTCATGATCGACTTCGTGAAAAAATAGATGAGTCACCGGATGCAGTAGTTTATTTTATCGAGTCGACAAATATATGCGCGTCGTTCGTGGAAAAGATTGTTTGAGTAAGAAATTGACCTTCGTCAGTAGTTCGAAACGCGGCTCCTTGGTTTCACTTGGATGTCGTCATTGAAAGAAAATGAGATCGTTTCTGTTAGTGATGAAATGATTGGTGAATTTGGAGAAATTCAAAAGAAATTGAGTATTTATTATGGTCAGGTTGAACCTGGGACTTGGTTGAATGAAAAATTGATTTTCACTTACTTTGTAGATGTGTGTGAATTCAGTAGTGGCATTGCCAAAGGAGTTACCTTTCTGCTCACTCTTTCTGAAAAAAGAAATTAATATATAGTAACATTTTCATGAACTGTGCTATACGGATTGGTTTATCATTAATTCACTTTTTCAGAAAAAAATCAATCAAAGTTGAGTTGGAAATTCGTCTTCATAGTATTCCAAAATGATACGAGTAGTTCATAGATATAATATAATTATTACTCACCCATATATTGTAATATCGGCTTCTTTTTTAATTTTCAATTCATAGATAAAAGTATCCCCATTCGTATTGTTGCTAGTTGTGAAAATTCTTCCAAATATTGGGAGTTCATAAGTACTCAAGTCTTTGTTTATATTAGTTACATCAAGATCTAGATTAATACTCATCTGAAAAAAATATTGATTGAAGCTATGCATATATATTAACATTCATTAGGTGAAATTGTGTCTTGAATGATCATAGTTAGAAACTCTAGTTGGAGCAACTATATAACATATTAAATCCCTAGATGAGTTCACGATTGTTTGAAGAATATATACTCATTACATGAGTGATATATTGAAAGTATTTTTTTCAAGAACCATAACATTTCTTGATATGCCTTAGGCAAGCGAATAATCAATATAATTTAAGGCGTGCTCCTAGAAGATACTCACATGACTAATAGATATAGCAGCTGAAAAATAAAAAACTATCAGACATATATCCAGTTACGTGAAAAAATCGAAATGGTTTCAACGTGTGACCACCTTATATACAAAACACATTTATGGCAAGCCATATACATGTTATATGCGAATTACAGCTTCCTGCGAAAAGTGCTAATTGTGCAGTATCAGCAAGATGAACACTTGTGCTCCAGACAAAGCAATTGCTGACACTGTTCAAATCAAAGAAATCTTTTGACGATACACATTAAAAACAAACTTCGCGGAAGAGCTGCCCAACTTATAAGCTCTCGAAACCCCGAAACATATCAAGAGATCAGACACCTACTGAATTTAAACTTTGGTGATACCCGAGATCTCACCTCCTCAATCCAAGACCTGCAAAGACTAAAACAGCTACCAAACGAAACCGCGTTAATATTTTTCAACAGATTACAAGTGCATAACGTCAACATGCACGCTTGTATTCAAAAATCTACCCTCACCGCCGATCAAAAAACAGGTCAATCGAGACTCATCGAAACCATGACATTGAATACACTACTTACCGGACTTGAACCCAGACTAGAAACATACGCGCTGGAAACCCCAGAGACATGCTCGAAGCACATATGCGAATTAGGAGAGAACTCCAACTTTTGTATTTCGAAAACCAAAAGCATGACAAACAAAACCAACCGAAAAACAACATTCCCAAAAGACCCCAACAACCTCAGTCTTCAAGAACGTGTAACTTTTGTGGACGCTTTGGTCATTTGTCGAACGAATGCCGCCAAAGACAACGACCACCACCAAATAACACAAATTCCTTCCAAAATACGAACTTTCCGAAACCAAATTTTCCCCAACAAAACCGTCCTCAAACGAATTTTTAAAACAATCAACAAAGGCCGCAATTCCAAAATACCCCATCTAGGCCAAATTTACAAAACCAAAACCAGAATCATCCCTCAGTAATTCAACGCAACCCCAATTTAAATCAACAAAGAACACATTGCGTTGAATATGAAGAATCACAACCTCTCCAAGATTATAACACAGAGTATGAGAACTACTATACAGCTAGTAGCCAAGAAAATGACTATTATACTGATAATGGTCAATGCCCGCAAGAACAACTTGAACGATACGATCAATACAACCAATATGATCAATACAACCAATACGATCAATATGACCAAAATGACCAACACGACCAATATATAAACAATCCAAATATCTCAGAATACCAGGATTTTCTTTCACTTCCAACACAACATCACCCTACCAGATTTCAGTCAATCCCAAGACATAACATCGGACATTCAAACCCAAATCCAATCGATGAACCTAGAAGATTATCACCCCGATCTGAACTTCCCGGAACAACGCTTCATGTAAGTTCACTTCACTCCATGAATTCAAAAAACTTATACTATATCAAAGACCTTTCAAATACCTTCAAAATTTTAATAGATACTGGTGCAGGAATTTCGATATTCAAACCAAAAACTTGTGAAAAATACCTTCACCTATTCCCAGAAAATGTAATAGTCCAGGGAATCACGGACCAAAAAGTTTTAATCACTGAATCGACTCTGATCAATTTCAAAGATAATGATCCCCACAAAGTCTATGTTCACAACCTTGATATTGAATTCGATGGTTTATTAGGATCCGATTTTCTGGAACATTATAATTGTATTATTGATCTAAAAACAAACAATTAATTACAAATTTCAAAACAGTTCCTTTGTTCAAAGTTATAGATAATGAAGTAACTGAAAATTCGAAACCAAACCAAATTTCAATTGAACCCAGAACAGAAAGAATATTCAAACTCAAAAGTAACTTTAAAAATACCGACGCTATACTGTTAGCGCAAGAAAAAGAGAAAGTCAGAATACCAAACGTCCTAGTAAAAATTGACAAAAATGGTGAATTTTTGACATCCATCATAAATGCCAACGCAATCCCCAAAACAATCGATTTTTCAGACCTTATTCTCGAACCAATAACAGACTTTGAATCAATTTTGAACTTTAACACCTCTCACGATGATTTAGAACAAATTGACAGAACTCAAGAGATAAAAAACCAACTCAGACTTGACCATTTAAACCATGAAGAAGAACAAATGATAACCGAATTATGCCTTGAATTTTCTGACATATTTTATCTTGAAGGCGACAATCTCACCTTCACAAATGAAATTAAACACACAATCGAAACTAACAATGCGAGACCCGTGTTTACAAAATCTTACAGATACCCTCATATTCACAAAGAAGAAGTCAAAACCCAAATTTCCAAAATGCTTAATCAAGGTATCATTCAACATTCGACATCCCCATGGTCATCCCCTGTTTGGGTAGTACCGAAAAAGCTAGATGCTTCAGGAAAACCCAAATGGCGTGTTGTGATTGACTATCGAAAACTGAACGAACTGTCAGTAGCCGATAAATATCCGTTACCCAACATTTCCGACCTGCTAGATCAGCTTGGGAAATGTCAGTATTTTACCACCCTCGATCTTGCGTCAGGATTTCACCAGATCGAAATCGACCCAAAAGACGTTCCAAAAACAGCCTTCTCAGTTGAGAACAGTCACTATGAATTTGCCCGTATGCCTTTTGGATTGAGAACGCACCATCCACATTCCAAAGAGTGATGGATAACATCCTCCTTGGCATCCAAAACGAGCGCTGTCTTGTATATATGGATGATATCATTATATACTCACCAACGATCCACGAACATATTTCAAGACTGACAGAAGTGTTCAAAAGACTAAGGAAAGCCAACTTGAAAATTCAGCCTGACAAATGCGAATTTTTAAGGAAAGAAGTCGCTTATCTTGGACACGTCATCACGAAAAACGGCGTTAAACCAAACCCCTCCAAAGTTGAATGCATCCAAGAATTCCCCCAACCAAAAAACCCAAAAGAAATCAAATCCTTTTTAGGTTTAGCTGGTTATTATCGACGCTTCATACCAAATTTTGCTACAAAAAGATACCCCATTTGAATTCGACTCAGAATGTTTGAAATCATTCAACGAATTAAAATTAGCCCTTACTTCTAGTCCAATTTTGATTTATCCCAACTTCGAAGAACCTTTCCTCTTAACGACAGATGCTAGCGCATTTGCAATAGGAGCTGTTCTTTCACAAGGACCGATAGGAAAAGACCTTTCCATAGCATACGCCTCCAGAACACTATGCAACGCTGAATCAAAGTACTCTACGATTGACAGAGAACTTGTAGCGATTGTATGGGCTGTGAAACACTTTCGACCATACCTGTTCGGAAGAAAGTTCAAACTCATCACTGACCATAGACCCCTCACTTGGCTTATTTTAATAAAAAACCCAGGTAGTAGGCTAGCACGTTGGAGACTCAAATTAGAAGAGTACGACTACGAAATAGAGTATAAACCTGGCAAAATAAAGAAAAATGCTGATGCCCTATCACATATCAAAATTAATCACTTCAGAGAATGTGTAAATTTTCACGGAAAACTTACGATACTCGCTTCAAAACGAAATTGATGAAACGAACAAACCAACTGACACCGAAACACAAGATACAGAAACACAAGACACAGAAACACAAGACACAGAAACACGAGACACAGAAACACAAAACAAAGAAACACCAGAACACGAAGAAACCCCCTTCGAACAAATTTTACAAGAATACGAAAATTTCAGTCACTTATATGAAACTCGATCCCTGATTGACTACTCAGAAATCAAATTTGACAATTCGCAACTTTTAGACAAATCACATAAATACATCCTCACTTTTTTCTGCCAAAACAAATTAGAAGATCTCCATCATAAAATCATAGATGACATATTCGAGGAAAATGCCGAATTTTACAACGATAGAATCAATATTCTTTCAAGTAAAACCGTCAAAGACAGAAAATATTTCATAATTGCTTTACCCTTCGATCATACCTCAGCAGTATAAATTCTATTCTTTGTCCTTTATAAATGGATAGATGAAATAGACACTTCCAAAACGTACTTTGTCGAAAATAATTTGGATTTACCAATTTTGGAAATTCTTTCTTTCATTTTCGCTGAAAAATAAATTAAGATAACAGTATTCCAAAATCTAACAAGAACTCCCGACGAAGACCAAATTCCCATCGTAATGGATCAATGCCACTCAGGAAAAAATAATTTACATCGAGGAATTAACGAAACGGTTAGACGCGTAAAAGAAAAATATAATTGACCAAATTCAAATACGTAGAAAATTTCGTAAAGAACTGCGAAACATGCAAAAAAGTAAAAATTTGCAGACAAAACCTTAAGAGCCCTTTAGTCATTACAGAAACTCCGAAAACACCATTCGAGAGAATAAACATTGACATTCTTGAAATTCCCACAAAAAACTATATACTTACAATTCGAGACGAACTCACTCGAAGAATTGGATAAACTTATCAATGAGCCGTTTGTGAACAAGCACATATCATGGTTCACATATTGCACTATAACATTGATCATTGTATTAATCATACTTTACATCTTTTGCAAATGTAGACGAAAAGGACCTATACGAATCGGTATAACATCCACTTCGAATCAACCACACTAGAATAATCCAAGATCAGACAGACAACCATCCCGTATCTTAACAAGATTCATCCCCAGGAGAAGACCAAGTATCAACCTCCAGGAACCTATAGAAGAGGAAATCCAACTCAACACCAGTTTCCACAAGGAAAATGTTTTGTGAAAAGTTGCAGCAAAAAGCAACAACTTTTTGTATAGAAGGGGAGTTGTTATATGCGAATTATCGTCTCACACGTATTAAATTACAAAGCGATAACAGCTTCCTGCTAAAAGTGCTAATGGTGCAGTATCAGCAAGATGAACACTTGTGCTCCAGACAAAGCAATTGCTGACACTGTTCAAATATTGTTTTTCATACCAAGGTCAGAAAGACGTTCATTAACGATTTAATCATTCTCAAGTATAGTTCATATCAATTACTTATTCAGTTAATGTTCCAAGTTTTTCACATCATATTCTAATATTGTATTAAAGTGTTTATAAAGAAATGAACCAATTTTTAAAAAGTGAATTGTGAAAAACAAGATATAACATACATATACTATAAACTATAGGTACCAAGTCAGACACTTAAAATGAGCAACAACGTCTCTAGATTAAAGTAGTAAATTTTATAAATAAATAAAACTGGCATCAATTTTTTTTAAATGATCACAGCGTCACATGATAAAATGAAGATATCAATATAAAAAGGTTAACAAACATAAGAACAGGCTTTATCCCAGCTTTTCAACATGAATAATTTTCCAAGAACTATGAATTGACCAGCTACGGCAGCATATTCTTCAATTCTGTAGAAACAGTGGTTGAGAAGATATCTCTTAATATTATTTTTGAAATTTCTGAAATCCAAAGATTTAACTGAGGGATGGAGATAGTTGTATAAATCAAATTTAGGGAGTTTTTTTGAGTAACTGCTAACCTGTGTCTTGTATTATTCAATAAACATGCGGATCTTGTTGAATAATCATGATTGTGAGAGTGTTTCGGAAACATCTCAATATTCTTGTGAATCCCCAACAACACAACATAAATATATGATGTAGGAAGTGGCATTATTTCAAATTAAATAGGACGACAGTGTTCCCTATATCCTACGTTTGCCATAATTCTCATGGCTTTTTCATGACATCTAAAAATTGTGATTGAGTTTGTGAAATGCCCCCAAATCAAGGCACCAAATGAAATAACTGCGTGGAATAGTGAATGATATGCTATCTTCAGTGTCATCAAACATACAGCATTTCTCAACTGTCTAAAAATAAAGAATAAAACACTAGACAACTTACGAGTAGTTGCTGGACCAACTAGGTCTAACATCAATATGAATACCTAGAAACAAAACACATTGGCAAACAGAACACATTTTTTTGGTGAAATGAAGCTACATAAGTGATTCATATAAATGATGAATAATAACGGGCCGAGGACAGAACCCTGAGGAACGCCATGGCAAATTGGCTTCAGAGAGAAGGAATTTAAAATGCAGTTAACTAAGTAAAGAAAACCTTGGAATCAGAATATTCTATGAAAATACCATTACAAAGTGTCAACACTGCCAGAACAAAAACTATCAAAACGAAATTCTTGTTTTTTGGAAAAATCAGTAGTAGACCTGAATGGTAGACTGAACGAAATGAAAGCAGAACACAATGTCCATATAGAGAGATTAAGTGTGCATTGGATGAAGAGGAATGAGACAAAGCAGAATCACGAGAACATTTCATTAAATTAGACCAAACAAAACGATTAATGTGCTTCAGAATTTTCAATAAACCCAAGAACACTAAAGAAAACCCCAAAGAAGTGGTTAGCAATATTTTGAACTCAGAAATGAAACTGAACATTTTCTTAGATGAAATTTATTTGTATTATAGAATTGGAAAAAAGACTGAGTCAAAATCAAGAAGCATTTATTTGGGGTTATATGGTTTCGAAGATATTATTATATGAATTTTATGATCTACATGACATCTTGTCAAGAAATAACTTATTCCATATCCTCAATTAGTCGAGTCAGTTATGAATTATTGTATTCCATCTTGGGAGACGCATACAATATATCTCACTTACTTTTTTACAAAATGCTAAAAAATCATTAATAAAAAAAAACTTTTTCAACGAAACAACTTCACGCAAAAACTAAATTTTTGAATATCAACCCAGCTCCTAAAACAAATGTTTCATGAACATAAACAATATTAGATCTGCAACTGCCAAAAAACGCTAGATCGAAGACCAGAATGCAATTATTTCGTCAAACTGCTTTTAATTATTTTTTCTATTCAATGGGCCAAAATCATACATCATACATCTAATTTCAAACATTCTAAAAAATCCTAACAAATTCAAATTGGGATTATAAACTCACTTGGTGAACTGAATATTACCTACATCCCAATCATCTTCAGAAGTACCACCCTCCAGTCTCTCCTCTTCCTATTTTTATTTACTTTTTATTGAAAATTCAATTGTTTCACTACTTGTTTCTGAACTATTGACATGAATGACTGTGTGTGATATACAGAATTTGCAAGATAGGCTTGGGGGCGTAGTGAATTTAATTTACACAATTGATAGTCATTAGTTCATGTTTTCATTCAAAATAATTATATTCGTTTGGTATGTTGTTACTTCCATTTTGGATAAGCTTACCGACTTTTTGAATTGATATTTGGCATTCTCAACTCACCCCCCCTTTCACTTCAATTTTAAAAATTTTAGAAGCGAATTATCCTTGCGATGATTAGATTCATAGATATTTCTCATTTGGAAATTTATGATATATTCAAATAATTCTGGAGCCAGCGTCGTTGTAACTGCTATAGCAACGTCGTAGACACAATTGCATATGTTGAACCTAATTGACCCTATTTATTAAATATTGAGCGGTAGACAAGTGATATTTATATCATTGTTGGTATTACCAATTTATGTCAATACTTTCAACTCCATTCTTCCCCACGAGATGACGCCACATAAAATTTTTGTGATTCGAATTGATCAAAATATATGAAGGAACTGTCCAAAAAGCCCTTGTTCAATTAGAAATGTCATCTTTTCTTTAATTTTGAATGGTAACATAAACAAATATAAATGTCATTACTAGGCGGATCAAAATGGATGATGAAAGCGCATACTGTTTCCAAAAAATATTAATATGTATTAGCTAGTATTGTGGGTTCTTGAATTAATTATCGGTTATACTTCATCGACGGAATGTTCAGAGTTGGATTTACGTATTGGAGCCAACCAGGCATCAATATCTGTGGTGCCCTCTCTCACCTCAAAAAAAAACTGTCAGTTAAATGGTTGTCAAATATGTTGAAATTGATAACTATACAACTGAGTTAAAACGAACAGTTTCGTCATTCATTCACAGACTTGTTGAGCATTCATACGCTCATTCGATGAATAATAAGTAAGTAAGCTTATCATGGCATATATAAGCGCCATCGTGACATAAGTAGATTCGTCTCTTCAGTGACATGAAGTTGTAATGTTATGAATGAAATAAGTGCTTCATCTTGCAATAGGTGCAAGATGCTGATGAGGAAATAAGATAGGTGTCTTATTTCGAAACTTCTAAGTTCGCCATTGAGGATGATAGTGCTAGGTGAAATTCAATAGCTTTTGCTCTACTACTTTTTACTCTAACTAGACGTGCAAAGCATGTGTTTACTCGCTTTCAGCCATAAATAGAATAACTGCATCAAGACGAATAAGCACATCCGATTTCGAAATATTTCGATGTATTGGAATACCGAAACCTATTGAATGACTAGCAAAATCACAAAGTTCAATCCCGATGGATTATTTTTTTTTTATTTATTCGAAAAGTGAAATGGAACTCTTCTTGACAGAATAGGGCATTGCCTCGCTATTAATGGATAACAATTTGAATAATTTAAAATAATGATTTTAGAATGTCATTTATTGGTCCTTAATTTATCCGTTACTTTTGGGAAGCACTGAATACAGAATCATATATAAACATACCATTTTATTTTCACGAAGCGGATCTCCCACCAAACAACTGATGGCAGATGAATTCAAAGTTCTGCATCTTGGACCAATTTGTCTGAAAACAATGATATCTGGTAAGACGATTTCCAGTTTCGTAGAGTAGGCATTTTCTCCTTCGTTTTTGATGTTTGCCATCAGATTCAGATAGGGTTTTGATCCAACGATGTATGATTTTCCATTGCTGAAAATAAAATTCCATTTCACCCTTTTTAAAACACAAGCTAGCTTTTCCAAACTAACTTTTGGATTTTTTGTGTACGGAATGTTATCAAAAAATCGAATTTTTAGTCTTAATGAACTGTTTGCAACATTTTTCATCCTACAGAAAGTATACATTAGGTTCACTTCTGATCGGTCCTGGATCGAAGAGAGCGGATTTTTTTTCTTATATTGCACAATGGCAATATTCAACGATAACAAATTCCACATTTTTTTTTTTTATCATGATAGCTTTGTATAGTACACTAATAATATTTCGATAATATTGTTATGAATGATCTGAATTTATACTATAAATTATACTTTATATCTAGCTTCGGGGTTCCACTAAGTTTAGATGAATCAACGAAATATTCAAAAAACAGCGTTCAGCATGGATACGAGAGGATACTATTTGGGCCCAAAAACGGTCCAGCGATGTTTCATAGCGTCATGAATAACATCTTTAGAGGTATACAGAACGAGAAATGTCTTGTGTATCTCGACGACACCATAATGTTTTCCACACCTCTATAGGAACACCTCAGATAAGTTTTTGAACGATTGAAGACATTCAACTTGGAAATCCAGTTGAACAAAAGTGAATTTCTGCGAAAAGAAATCGCTTACCTCGGGCATATAATAACTCCAGATGGAGTGGAACCAAACCCATTAAAAATTTCCAATACCAAAACATTAGCAGCAAATTAAAGCATTCCTTGGATTTCTCATGTATAACAGAAGATTCTTGAAGGAGGATGCAATCAATTTCAAAAGGAAAACTCTATACAAAGATCATGCATGAAATTGATTGCTTTCCTCATTCTTTTGAAAGATTCCCACATTTCTTTATATAAAGATGTAGAAGTAGGAAGCCAAAACTATTATTTCCCACTTATACTCGTGAAGGACTTTGTTGAGCTGACTAAACCCTTAACCGAATGCTTAAAGAAGAATGCAAAAATCGTACATTCAGCAGACTTTATAGAAAGTTTTGAAACTTCAAGGAAATTCTTATCAGCAATCCTATTCTGAAATAGCCAGATTACTAAGCTCTCCATTTCAACTACTGATGTGAGCAATTTTGCACTATAAGCTATCCAAAGGAAAAATCTGAAAGGACAAGCCTATCGTCTGTACGTCAAAAACTTTGAACGGCACAGAACAAAGGTATTCGACAACAGAAAAAGAAGTCTTTGCGATTGTTTGGGCAACCAAGTATTCTCGACCGTATCTCTATGGAAGGAAGTTCATTGTATGTACGGGCCACCAACCACTACAGTGGCTTTTTTCGTTGAAGGAGCCCAACTCAAAATTAGTAGGATGAAGACTTCGCCTAGAGGAATATGACTACATAGTCGTATACAAAAAAGAAAAAACACAAAACCAACGGTGGTACTGTATCCAGGATATAAATCAATCCAATAGAAATTGATGCAAGATCCACCCAAGTTGAGAACGATACGGATTTGGAACAACTCCCAGTTCACCTTACACGGATGGTAGAAACAGATCGATCATCCCAGAGCCTGTGGACACGGGAATCCAGCGAAAATAAGTTTTTCGTGCACCTGATTCCCCACCGATTATTCCAGAACCAATGATTGTCAAAAATCTGATACCACCTGAACTACCACCAATACTCGATATTCCAGAAACTACTTAAGACTCCAGACAAGAAGCAGAACCACCAGATAGTATATAGATTATACCAGATGCAATCGACCAGAACGTGAAATAGTTTATAACTACTGTTTTCAACAATCCCGCACCAACAGAAGTAGTAAAACGAAGAAAACGAACAATAATCCATGCTCAAATTTCCCAAGATAATAATGAAGAGAAAATCGAATCTCCACTCATTCAATTCTGCGAATCAATAAAGAAATACTTCTGCTACTTCGACAAGGAAAAATGTATTTTTACTGTCTTCAATGAAGACCATCAAATTTTGGTAAGGTTTGAGACTAAAACAATAGTTGTAGAAGTACCTTTGGAAAAAGAAGAACTCATCAAACATGATAACGAGGGAAAAACCAAACATCAAGGCATCAATGAAACCTATATAGCAATCAAAAGAAAATACTTCTGGCCTAAGATGAAGCACTCGGTAAAATAATTCATAAACTGTTGCTTAGTTTGCAAAAAAAATCGAATACGAGAGACGCAGGCCCGTCATTCCCTTGAGAATAACGTAAACTTGAAATTTCATAAAATCAACATTTACTTTATAACACCCCCGCACCCCCAAACAAATAGATGGATTGGGGGTTTCCAGAAATCTATACGGTATGTTTTATGAGCATTAATATTACCTATTACCAACAAATTTTTGACGACCATCGCAAGAAAATATCACATACGAAATAGCCAAGGAAATACATCTGAATGATAAAATCCATTTCATTTGAAGCGGAAATGAAAACCAAAAGGAACAAAACGCGTTCAAAGTAGGAGATCAAGTATTTAAGAGACAACCAGAAAGCGGAAGAAAGAATATGGAAATCCGTTATTTAGGTCGTTTTGCTATCGACCAAATAAATTAAGATAATACATGCATTATATTAAATAGTATCAATCACAAAAGCAGGTTACATTTCGATAACGTAATGTACTCTATTGTTCCAGAACAACTCCTGGACCATTGGGATAGTCGAACCCTTAACAATGACCACTACAAAAATAATCGCAAATCCGGGATTGCTGCCCCAAAAACTTGGCAGAACAGTGAATATTATAGACTATTCGACCATCATCAGAGTATTTGACCTCCAGGACCTGATTCAAGAATTTCAATTGATAAAGGATGTTATCGCTCATATAAATTCCGGTTTCCAAGACATGGTCCCAATTCTAGCAATGGTATAAAAAACTACTTTCACATAATGGATTACAACTACAACTACAAGAAATTGAAGTCAAATTATTCCAATTGTTTCCCACACTAATATTGAATCGCATAAAACGAAGAATAATCAATGTTCTTGGCAGTTTCGTAAAAGTGATAACCGGCAATTTTGATACGGAACAACGATATGAAGATGCAATTCAAAAATCCGGTGTCACCAAAATGAACAAAAAATATTAATGGATGAACAGATTTCTTTTACCACAAAAGCAATCGGAAAATTCAATTCCACACTATGCACACTAGCGAGGAATCAACTAACAATCCAACAGAAACACGAACAACTAGTAGGTGCAATCAAGGAAAAGATAACATCATATGCTGAAATATATGAATGACTGGATATAAATGCGGTATTCCCACAGTTAATAGCTACCACCAATTCAATTCTGACGATGCCTTTACCAAAATAGCGGTTCAATACCCATCCATTATAGTAGCTAATGATATTTTCGAAGAATTGTAAAATATCCCCTATCATGCACATCGAGCTGAAGCATAATCTCAATGTGGGGTGCATCTTATCCGATTCACGCAAACATATGAAAATTGCCATTCAGAACCCATAAAACTATGTGACAAGAAGATTCAGATGATAAATTACAACCAGTGGATCGCAATATTTCCGAATGGAACAACGGACTCGTCAGAATATGCCAACGTCTCAGAGGTACTTATGTGATTGAAATTCCAGAAACCTGATAATTAAAAGGTCCAAGAATCACGTGACCTGAGAAGACGCCAACAATGACAGTGTTCTATATTTGTCCGGTCAACATTTTTGCCTTAATGCGGCATTCCCGCATGAAATTGAGTTTCCAGAGTAGAGATAGAATCATTCCGCCAAGGACTGCAATAATCAGAACAATAATCCCAAAAAAGTGGTGTGGATAGAGTATACGGAGTTTAATGAGAAAATATCTATATTTCATCAGTTTTCTCTCTATTTTCGGACGATATTCATCTCGCCAGGAGCTGAAAACTACACGACAAATATCGTCTGGCTTTTATAGTCTAGAAGGAATACATCAGCCTTATTAGCTTGTATGAACCTGAGAAGGAGTGAACAGTTCCAATAAATTCGCCTCTAACGTTTTTCCACAACAGATTCAATATCCTCCGGTGCGTAAGGTAACAACGGTGTCTTGTCAATACCATTAGAGACAAAGCTGTTGAAGATGCCATCCTGGCTGATCATGATAAAGCTATTTTTTGACTTCAGCCCACTCGACCTGAGGAAAGCGAAGGACAGGTGCTTTAATAAGCGAAGGTTTTCAAACCAATGTATTGACTCCACAGTAGTGAAGAGATATCTGCGGCTTTCATGTGGGCCTATTGCTGAACGGTTTTCAACTCGGTGACAAAGTTGTGATCATTTCGTTCAGTGCTTCAATTCCAGCTCAAGGTTCTGTGATCCGCAGACCCCCTATAATCTCTGATTATAGGGGGTCTGTAAAGGCCCCCCAGGAATTGATTGATATATTTAACGCTTTGATTAATCGGTTCCAAAGCAATGGTAGAGAAAATAAAATCTCAGTGAAATCAGTTTGAATACCTACTTGCTGCTTTCTTCTATTGAAAACAACTACAACATGGCGGCACTGCTATATTCCTCGTGAATTCAACAACATTCAAGCCAATAGATTTGATTATATTCAATACTGAACAGAACGCTGAGATCTTTGGTATTGAATTGATAAAAAAGAAAATTATAATCTATCTGTGTGAAGTTTTGTATTACGTAGTGAAATATTGATTTTATGTCGACATCAGCATATTATTTCTGATGCTGAAATTAACACTACCGATTGTGAAAGGGATATTTTTGGCAAACTCAATTATGTTCTGTTTCTTGCCACGTTTCTTATAGTAAGTAATCTGGTGGATGCAATATTCACTTTTTTGCTCAATGTAATTGTTATTTTTCAGCTAATCTTTTTAATTTTTTACAGATTTTTTCAAGGATTTCAAATCAATTTATATCATATTAGACAATGGAAGTCCGACTAATGAAATGCACAATGAAACATTGTCAACCACCTTCAAACAATATATTCACTATTGCGCCATTCAAAACATGACGAATCTCCAGTGGTATGTTTCAATGATACCCACAAGGAGATGTGACGATATTTTTCTAACTTGAAAATTTCAGCTGATATAAGCAGAGGGTCAGAATCCATTTCTGCATAAATAGTATTATGTCACTACTAACACTGCCAGTGTGAGATACTCAATTTCAAAAATGTTCCATCTCTCCTGAGTTCTTTCTTTTAAGGTTCAGTTACTGAGGAGGGTGTTCTAAGAGCGATAATATCATTGCAAAACTCCAAATGTTTTTATGCTAACGAACTCAATAGTGTCATTATCAAGGAAACATCCAGTATACCTCTGTTTCCTTCCACGAAGATATTATCACATATTTCTAACTGGCATATTCCCAGATCCATTCAAATTCCCAAAGGTTATTCATTCTTAAAAAAGGAGACTCATCTCTTCAAAACCCTTTTCATTATATCCCATTGGTATCAGTTTTTTCAATATCGATTGAAAAACTTATAGAACATTACGAATCAAAATTTGCCTCACCCACCGTACTCCCCAGACCTCTCGCCAACCGACACCAATTTTTACAAGTACTTCGATAATTTTCTCACCGGTGGAACCTTCGAAAATCGGAATCAGGAAAAACGGCTTTCGTCGACTTCATCAACTTCATTTTCAACACCCAATTTTTATGCTGATGGAATAAATCGACTGGAGGTACGTTGACAAATATGCAATGATTCAAATGGTGCTTATTTTGAATAAATTGAATAATTATTCACGGAGACATTATAGTTTGATCTAGACTCATAAAAACGGACAAAAAATTTGAAACGACCTAATAATAATCGCGTCTTAGTTTGCCATTTTCATGCTTTCAAAAGCATACAACCAGTCAGGCAATGTTCATTTATTCTATGAACCTTCTCCAAAGAGTGTGTAGCTTTGGAGAACCTAAACGACTTTTGATAGCTCAGCTAGTGGGACCAACATACCTTTTCTCACAGTTCCTATAACTTATTCATAACATAAATCTAAGACTTTTCATTTTCATTTTCGATATTTTCATCTTCAGGTTCCCGAATACTTGGAGTGAACTTGATGTGTTAAAAGGTACTTTTATGTCAATTTCTCTAAAAATTCGATCCATCGTATTTTTAAGTTTATTGATTATGTGTACAATGGCTGGTGCTGTCAGGAATATATCAGAAAGTACTGTTTTATATGAATGGTAGTAACTCCTTGTTGTCATAAGTAAACTCAATATTCGTCCTCTGCGTTACTTTCATTTTGCGATTATTGGCACAGCATCCTATTGCATTATATTATCTGGCAAATTTATTGCAAGGAAAATATTAAATTTGTAAAATTTCATTATGATTTATTACGATTTCCACTAAACATAATACTAACCTCAGTTCCGGAATATTCATATCAACAAATAATTTTGATCTACAGTCATTGTCCTCTCCACAATCCAGGGTAAACGGTATATGAATTTCGTAATACGTTTTATTAGAACGGAAAATGTCCAATACTGGACAATTCAAGCATAGTCGATCGTAATCGTTCACCATGATAGGCGTTTCTGAAACATTTCCTTTTAGAGCCTCAGGATTGCTGAGTTCGTAATATAGCGAAGCTGTTATTGGAATTGATGTTGCTGAGGAGTTGAAATTTTCGGGAGGCTGAAAACAATATGTTTACATATTTTAAATGAATTTCATTCACATTTCAATAAATTTTATGTCATAAGAAGATGGTTTTTTGTGAGAAACTTCAAAAACGGTATTAGTAATATGATTCGCAGCCACCAACCATTTAAGATTCATTTAAGTATTAATCATTGACAAAATTTATCGTATCATTCATTAGAAATATATACTCCGAAATTAATAATTTGAAAGTGTATGTTTTTCTGGAAATATTCAAAATTTATGATGGAATACACCTATACTTGATGAAAATCTGTAACGTATTCAAGTAACGTAACACTTCATTAAGATATGTTCACTGAAAAGTTAACAAAACTGTAAACGCAATTATTTGCATCATATGACCGTCTACATACTCAATGACTAACAATTTCATCAAAGTGTAGGTATAAACTAATTGAAGAAAAAAAAATGAAAGAAATTTCAGCAACTCATTGAATGAACATTCAATTATTAAGATAGACAAAACTCTAGATCTACTTACTATTTGTTTATGGTGAAGATATTGTCAACACAATGAGAAAGAAGTTTTATTCATGCAGCGAAGAACTTTCTGAATGAAATTAACGATAATCAGTTGATTAATACTTTCTTATAATGGCACAGCAGATTTCATAGTCTGTTTTACTGATACAGGTGGACGGTTGGGCAAACTTATCAAAGTTGTCAAATCCATTCGTCCATCTATTACATTCGCTACTGAAATGGAGGTAAACAATTTTCTATGTTTTTACCACTTCTATTATTTATAACTAACGTTACTGCAGTTTCGTCCTATAAGAATATTTTCAAACGAATACAATAAACTGAAAATAATTGATAATATTAGCCCTTATATATCCTGTAGATAACAGACCTGGGTAAAACATATTCATTTCAGGTACAGATATATAGACTATATTCTCGCCTGTTTCAAAGGAAGTACACGACAGCTGAACCAATTTATCACATTTGTGAGTAATCTCAATAGAAACATATAGTTCACATTCGAAACAGAGATGGAAAAACAGAATAATTTTTTAGACCTGACCATTACACATAATCATAATAAATTCGAGTTCAATGTATTCAGAAAACCGAACGTTACAGACATTACAATCCCAAGTTAGTCAGAAAACAAAGCCTCAAATTTACATACAGACTAATATACCTCAGGTCAAACAATCAGAAATCAAGAAATTTGTAACTCTAACATATTTTGGTAAAAGAACAGAGATGATTGACGGTTATTTCTGGAAAAACAATGTGACAATGGTATTCAGACTACATGCCAGGTTATTTGATCTCTTTTTCAATGCCAAAGATAAAGTGGACAAGATGGAGACATCTGGAGTCTATAAGCTTAAGTGCCCGAAGTGTAATAGTGTTTATGTGGGACATTGTGGCCGAAATTTCTCAAAACGGTATGCTGAACATGAGTGGTCTTTCGGATTGGGTAAAAATGATTCGACGATTTCAAACCATCCCTTGGAATGGAACCACAAGTTCCCGAAACTAAACGATGCGAACACTTTGCACTATGCAACTCAATTATTTGTAATCCTTGGGAATTTATAAGCATAAACATTACAGATGTAACCTGCCAAATGATCAAATCGATTTAGTTTACTCACCGGTTTTCAATTTTTTCTTTGAGGCCAGGGTTAACTGGTGAGTATGTTCATCGGATAAAGGTCACGTATAAACCATTTTTTGTAAAGCCGTATCCCATTCTATTCGCACACCGCAAGGCGGTGGAAAAAGAGATTAGAAAAATGAAGGGGTGGGGAATCATAGAACGTGCCTCTACTTCATATATTTCGCCGTTGGTGACAGCAGTAAAAAAAGATGGGTCTGTTCGTGTCTGCCTTGATGCTAGGAGACTGAATCGGGTATTAGAGGGAAACCACGAGATGGTGAGGCCAATTGAGGAAATCATGTTATCTCTTTCTGAAGCCAAAAATTTTACTTTTTTATATTTTCGTGCAGGGTACTTCCAAATACCCCTACATGTGGAGAACCGCAAATATACTGGGTTCCTGGTGGAAACCAGGTCCTACCAATTTCGGGTCATGACTTTCGGCATTTCAAATGCGGTCGGTTCATTCTATCGTTGTACTTATTTAATATTAGGGATTGAGTTCAGGGAATTCTTGATACCGTACCTGGATAACCTTTTGATTGTGTGAGGAACACCTAGGATACTTACACCAAGTTCTCATTCGTATAGCCGCTGCTGGGTTCACCCTGAATCTGAAGAAGTGCTAGTTATTTTTCCACAGAAATACGGTTTTTGGGTTACAAAATTAGTCGAGAAGGGATAAAACCTGACGAAGATTGAATTCAAGTCATTGAAGATTTTCCTAGTTCAAAGAATGTGAAGCAGGATTTTCTGCAAGGGATTTTCCAGTATAGCAGAGCCACTTCACGCCCTTTTGAGGAAAAAAACGAAATGGTCGTGTGGAAAATTACAACAAGATTCTTTCCAGTTATTAAAGGAAGAGTTGAAAAAAAGGACGTTACTTCATCATCCGACCATGAACCAAAAATATTATGTTCAAACAGACGCAAGTGACGTCGGATTAGGGGCCACCCTGTTTCAGAAAATGGAAGGCGAAGTCAAGATTTTAGCTTATGCTAGCCGTCTCTTACTTCCTAGGGAAAAAGCGTACTCCTCGTCTGAAAAAGAAGCTCTTTCGATAGTTTTTGCTCTGAACAAATGGCGTGTTTATTTGTTGGGTAGGCCTTTTATTATACTGAGTGACAACAAAGCTTAAAACCTCCTTTAAAACCTGTCGAATATTATCCGCGCGTTTTGTGCGCTGGATTTTGGCACTACAAGAATTTGATTTCGAGATTGAGCCTTTCCTTCGGAAAGTTCTGGTTACTCAGTTTATCAAGGAATATCATGGTTTGCTGGGTCATTATAGGGTATTCAAAGTTTGTTCTGCACTACGGCGTGATACTTGGTGGCAAAATATGCACCGAGACATCAAACGAGTTATAGCCTCTTGTGATGTTTGTCAGAAGACCAAACAAATTTTGACTCATCCCGAATTACACTCGATAATACCCGATGGCCCTGACGATTGTATTGCTCTTGATTTATATGGCCCTTTGCCCCGTAGCGTAGTGGCGTAGTACACCTCTGTGTGGTTCTCGATATTTTCACCAAACTAGTAATTTTATACCCTCTCAAGAAGGCTACTACTAAGGCAATCTTGAACCGACTATGTTCGGATTATTTTACTAAAATGGGAGTTCCCAGGGAGGTACTAACCGATCATGGTACCCAGTTTACCGCGGCCGCGTGGAGCCGAGCCTTCCATAAGACAGGTATAAAGATTATCCATAGCTCGGTGAGGCATCCTCAAAGTAACCCTTTAGAAAGGGTGATGAGAGAGCTCGACCGTTTATTCCGTACGTTTTGCTCGTAAAATCATAATACGTGAGCTTGGGAAGTAGGTCGTATGCCTGAGCTCATGAATTCCGTGGTACATGGATCTACCGGTTTCAGCCCTTATGAGTTACACTTTAGCAGGACTTCTGTGTCAGTCCGTGAATTGATATATTTTCCAGGTTCTCTCGATGTTGGACGTAATCATGTAAACGTGTACCTCGCAAGGGAGTCTTTGAATGGAAAAGCAGCCAGGCGTTCCTTACTCAACCCTGGTAGGACCTATGTACCATTTGAGCCCGGCGAATTAGTTCTACTGAAGGCTAACTCCATCTCATCGGTGTTGAAACAGGAAATTAAGAAATTCCTAATACTCTTTGAAGGCTTATAGGTACTTTTCATGCTAGCCATATGAAGCGATATATTGAAGATTCCAACCCCAATACGGAGTTTCCATCCAAATCCTTTTAGGTTGAAATCTTGGGGGCAGATGAAGCGGTACGATGGAATGATGGTTGCCTACTTTCAGGCCTAATTATTTCAATATATATCTACCTGTTTAATCGGTTCCAGTGCGAGCGTTTTTGTTTTTTTCCGTAAAAACGCTGGTTGTTATTCTTACTACGTATAGTTCTGTATTCGATCATTTCATTTGGTTGTTCGATGATAAGTGTGACCTCGTGATTTTTAGAAACTCACGAAATTCTATACCAATTTTGACTGGGTTTCTCGTCTGGCACAGGTAAGGGTGCAGCACCCCTTCTAAATTGTATACACACAAATTTGAATTTATTTATTTATTTCCACAGTTATCTTGAACGCTGACCAATTAAACTGAATCTACTGAAATTCGGCCTAGTTTATTGAACAAAAATACCAGTAATCCGAACCCTGTACTTCCAACGAAACTGACCAAAAGTCGTTCCGTTACATCATACTATAAGAGATGATGCTGAGGATGTCCACATATCGCTTGGCTCATGCCATGCAATTTTTCTGAAATTTTGGGCATGAAACGTGTGGCAGCGAAGTTAGTTCCAAAATTGAGCATCGCTCAGGAATTGTTGAATGACATCAACGGCGATTCAGATTTGCTTGAAAGAGTCATGATTGGCGACGAATCATAGATATGGTTATGATATCGAAACCAAAGTTCAATCGCTCCAATGGAAGAGTCCAGGGGGGCTAACACCAAAAAGATTATGCGTTATGCATCGCTTGCGAGAAGCAATACGAAGAAATCGTCCGGTATTGTGTGAAGCAATTCATGTCTTTTGCATTACAATAATGCACCTGCTCACTCGTCTTTTCTTCATAATTTTTCGGCCAAAAACAACACCGTAATCATGCCTCAGCCTCTGTATTTTCTAGATTTGTCCCCTGGGACAAAATAGAAATTGATGAATAAATAAATATTTTTTAGGAAAAATAAAAATTCACCTTATCCACTGCCGTTGTAGATGAAACGTCAGGCTTAAAAGTTCGCGCACGATGACCAACAATTCCGGCAAATAGCTTTGTCATATTCGAAAAAAACTAGAAATTATATTTTTGAAATATCGGTAATTTTTTCACAATTCACCAAACTTTTCGAGAAACGACCATAGACTAAATTCACAAAACTCATATATAGGGTGGGGTGTCTTTCTACTTGTGCAGTCCCCAACATTCTTTAAATATTCATGAGAGTTTTATGAATATAATACCCTGAAAGTTCCAAATTTTGAGGTCTGTTCAAATAAAGAAGATACAAAAATATATAATTTCAAGCTTTTCGATTTTTTGGTTGATATTAAATTAGATACACAATTACTGAACAATTGACACAATTGACACAATTACTGAAATGGAGGAACATGAAACTGGAACATGAAACTTCATGTGGAAATTGAAAGGTGTAAGATCACAGTAAGTTTATGAAGCTCAAACCAATATTACTTCATGAAGCTCAGACTCTCAGCATACTATAATACATTCCTGATATTTCAAATTGCCTTCTCAGCAATTTGTAATATTTATCACTTCTGGAGAGTATTGTCAAATATAGAAAATAATCATGAAGTAATTCAGATTCATTTAATTAAATACATGAATTGAAAGATGTTCCAACCTTACATTAATATTTTAACACAAGAACACTCAGTATTCAGAATTACATCTTTTATTATTACAAGTTCATAGACATCGAAATTGATCCGATCACAGGATATAGAATATAAAACAATCTCCAAATACGCAAACTTGGCACAGATTGCATGCTGAGCATTTTACCTTAGTACAGTGACCGGATCAAAGTCGCAATGTCAGCGTATAATTCTTTAAAAATATTGAGGGAGGTCGAAATCATTAACAGACAGTATTCATTCGAGTATCGATTGATCATCAGTAATGCAGCACATCTCCTTCTCTTCGATCCTGCTGGGTGGCAGTATAATGTAAGTTTTTGGTGTTTTAATGTATCTTTCTTATTAACATTTGAGTGTTGGTTTATTCAAAGTATTTTTTCCGTTTCTTTCACAATAAATATTTAATTAAGTTTTAAATGAGTTCTTTCATTATTTTGGATGAATGAATGAATGGGTGAAACAGCGAATAAAATCCTCTCGTTAATAGCCAAGCGAGTACTGAGTTGCAACAGTATTCAATGTAGTTAACTCACATTTAAAGAAACCGTCACATTACTGCATGATTGGTTTCCTTCAGCAATAATGAGCTTCTTCGTAACCGTCTTGCTGTTAGATCCTTCAATTTTTCCTCTTCCTAAAGCCTTGTCGACAGTAGTATTGAATAGTATTTCTGGAAAAAAATTAAATGTATTATACTTGATGACGTTATTTACAGGTCTTTGATGATGTTCAGCAGAACAGAAACGGTTCAGAGTTTGTATATCTTCTCTTTTTTTATGGTCTTTGCTTTGGTGCAGTAGACCAAAGTTTGTATGTCAAATAATTGGAGAATATGTTACCTACATAAAAAGTAGGTTTGGAAAAATATGACATAGGTAAATAATGCAATCTATGGCACTGTAAAAAATACCAATCAAGTATTGCGTACTTATTAAAGCTGCTATATACATTGAAATGCAGCAAAATGTTTATACAGATAAAAGTCAAATTGCCAATCATATACTTTACTCATAACGAGCTTTTAGCGAATGCTCCATGGTTCGTGCGGAATGAAGCCATCCGCAGAGATTTGAAGCTGTTGAATATACAGCAGTCCATCCAGTTGAGGAATCAGAGGGTTTTCGAGTCAGCGAAAACTCATGAAAACACATTAGTTAGGGAAGCTGTAGATTATGCTATAGCCGACCCCTCCCGATTAAAATATCCCCATCACTCAGTTGAGTGAAGGCCCTAAAACGTCCGTGAAAAGTGAACAGTTTTTTCATCAAATACCCCAGTTAGGAAGAGGTGCACAGGGCCAGGGCGGCATAGAGATCATACACTTTCATTCCGCAACCAACCAATTCTCTTGAATCATTCGTCCTGACGAACACACGTTGAAAGGGTAAGGGGATCTCCAACCTGATTTAACCGAAGACGATCAATCGGTCTAGGAAATGTCAAATAGCATCTAGGAACCGTTAATGGCATATAACTCATGTTAATCAGTCATCAAAAAACTTCTTTGGACCTCTCTCACACACCGCTCATCAAAGTCAACGATTGTATGCCTAAATATACCTAATTTAAAAATATAAAACTATTCTTTCATACATAAAAATTAATACTACACTCAAATATAAATACTATGTTAATATACTCGTATTTATGTCGTGTAACTAAACTCTATGGGATATGTTGACAGTGTACAGAGTTTGGACATTTTTACTGGTGAATCTGATGGATTTTATTGCTTCGCATGTCATAGATAAATCCAGTATTGTTAAAATTTTCTGAAGTGGCCTGTTGAAATATGTAGGTTTTTCGTTTACCAACCGACACATCTCCACTTCAGAACGCCAATCCTCAGAAGGCGAAACTTGCACGAAGTAAAGATTAATGGATTTCATCTTTGAATGTGTGATTTCCAATTCGGGTTAGACGATATTCACTGAACATCGGTCGTTTGACAGTTGGCTCGAATCAATGTTCACATAGTAGTTGACTGAATGAAAACGAACCAATCACGCTATCCAACCGGTTAAGGGTTAATAATAATAATGATAATGATAATATAGGAGTTTGCATCCCAAATCGTCCGTTCCACGGTTGTACTTCCCCCGACAACAGGGAGGCCGTGTACTTTTGAGTTTGGAGTGTCTACATGACAGAATGGAGCTGGATACAGCCTGTAAAGTCGTCAGGAGTTCGGATCCCCTTCTCTGCATGGTTATGTTTTAACTACTATGAACTATGTTTTAAACATGCTGAATGTATTTGAAGGGATTTGCAAAGACTAAACAAGTTAATTGAATATGAAATTGTTACACATTCCAGGTAACATTCAATATAACTTTCAATTGTGTGTGATTCATTCCAGTTTTAGAATTTTTTTACCTTCCTATTCTAGTGGAAAGTCTTCAAAGGAAATTATCAACTACATCAATAAAAACTCTTCACTAAGATGTTCATCATATGCACAGAATATTTTTTTCAGACGAAAAGTGGCTGAGGAAGTCCATCTATCTGAAGAAACATCTACCATGTTTCAGTTATCGCCACAATGTCATAAGACTGAACAGCATTTTTAAATTCCTGAAAAGATTATATCAGAGATTTCACATTCAAATGGCATAAGTTAACAAAACTCATTCATACATAAAAAGTATAAAATTAATATAAAAACAGACCTAATTCAGTGTTTGTTTCAAATAGACGTAAAAACGAGCAAGGTTGTCTTAGTAGCAAAAAAAAGGAAAGAATATAGATAAATTATTTCCGTTGATTCAAGTGTATACTGGTAGATAGTAGTCAGGTACAATTAATATCAAGTGATTTTAGAAGTAATTAAGTTTGTATTGCTGATTGAATTCGAAATATTACGTAGATGGACTGACGGCTGCTTCTGACCTCAGGAAAGTTTTCCAAGATCCTTTTCATGCTTCAACTCATGTAATTATATTTCTTTCTACAAAAAGTTTGGACACAATATCATTGAGGTTTTCCCCCCTTTTATCTTTGAGTCCTAGTAATTTCAAATGGCACATTTTGGATTTTTGCTCAAGATATCGATTCTGGATTCCAGGGCACAGTTGAATTTTTTTTATAGAATTTACTTCATTTGATAATAGTGTGATTTTATTATTGAGACCTTCAGTTATTGGCTATCAATGACATTGGCTCTCTGTTTATAGAATTTAACTACATTACATATCGTCAGCAGTAAAAATTGTCATATTCCTCTCTAAGAAAGTTCATATCATCCTTGGACTCTTCTATGAATTTATTTATACATACATCGCTTCGAAAATTATCAATCGTTTTTCATCAACCAAAATAATCTCATATCAACTAAAAACTCAAGTCACAATTCAATTTCTTTTTAAATGTCATTCCTAACTTTATTATTTTTCTCATTCATGATTTCTTCATGTTTCTCTGTCTACATATGCATATCAAAAATGTGACTGCTATTAGGGATTTTCTCCTTTTCTTATCATGTGCTCTTCCTCCTTCCCTAATCTTTGTCTCAAGTAAATATTCTATTGTAGGTATTAAATTAGTTTATTATTTTTGTGGCTTGTTATCAACATATCAATAACTTAAGATTTCACTCAGTACACTGTTCAAACATGCTCTCTTCATAGTATCATTACTGTAATCGTGTCTGTTTCGTTTCTGTGCCACGTGTGTTACTATCATTGAAAATGTCACTTTCCTCAAACATACGATTTCGGTTCTACTTATTGACTTTCAAAGTTCGATCAACGCACACATTTCTATCCAAAGATTTTCAAGCATTCCTGTTCGGTTAAGTTCATTACTGTTTTAGGTATGGAGTTTATCGGTTGCCAATGTTTCATCTACCTTCCTCTCTTTTATTTGGATTTCAAACTTTCCAATTTTTTATTGATTTGCCCCAATTTGTAATTTCAGTAAATGTACCTAATGACTTTTTTCTCCATAGAATTATTGTTTTTCCCCCAGAGGGATTTTCTTTCTATCATTTCGTCTCTCTCTCAATGTCCCTCAAATCTCTAGCTCTCATACTTTCCAACTCAAATTTACATCAAAAGCTCTCGTTCTTTCCAACTCAAATTTACATCAAATCTCTTTTTCATTTCCATNTTTTATTTATTCAATTATTATATTTTTACTTGTAGGTTATTTCACTATCATTTCATTTCAGGTTTATTGTTGCTTAATATAATTGTTATTTTCAACTATTCTTTTTTAATTATTCTTTTTTACTTGTTTCAGGGATTTCAAATCATTTTATATAGTAGACAATGGAAGTCCGAACTAGTGAAAGTAATATCCAAATTATTATAAAAGCACGACACAGAATTTGTGAAAAAAGTATTGCGACGCCCGAAGCTGCTATCGTATAGCGAAATACGTGTGGCGGTTTTGTATAAACTTTCAAGTGGAAATCTCATATTTCAGTGTGTTTCTTGAAAACGTCTTAATAGATTTTTATCAAGTGTCGGTCAGTTCTATGCGATATTTTTGAGAAGTAATGTTTATTTTTTAAAAACTGTCTGTTTCAGTTTCTGTATTTCTGAATTATTTTTTATTGTTTGTGTATTTTTCATAAAATATGATGTGTTTGTATAATGTTGAAACTTCCACGTTTATGTTATTTTAACAGAAATATAGCACACAGGGTGCAGCGCCTTGCGCCAATAATTATTGACCAAGCGTGCGTGGCCCATATCATGAACAAGAAGTTCGCTCTTCTTTTCAGTTCGGTACATACTTATTATGAAATAGTTTTATTGCATCTGATAGTGATCAATATGCACTAGTAAGGCATGCATTCATTTGTAACTAAATAATTCGTAACGTAACTGCGAACACATTACAATACAGCAAATGGAGACAAAATATTATCTTTTTTAATCATTCTTTTTTACTTGTTTCAGGGATTTCAAATCATTTTATATAATAGACAATGGAAGTCCGAACTAGTGAAATTCATCACGAAACATTGTCAATCACCTTCAAACAAACGTACCACTTTGTCACGCGTAACCTTATACGGGCAGAACCACCATATGACTGTTTTTAGCCGTCGCATTAGATGATTGTCAGTTACGAACTGCGACAAGTTGGGACGAATATCTACATATGTATCGCGTATCTTTGCATATTGCATGTGCCGTACCTCAATCATTTCGATTGATTGATACAGCCAAAGTACAGAATTCCTCCGGAAGCCGAAAATGTACGTTGTTAAGTTACAGGTAATGAATTCATATGGCTATGTGCTTACAAGTCGAACAACCATTGCATGCGGCGTTATTTTGTACCCAGTTTGATTGAGTTACGGAAATACGGTCGAAACACAAAATGCTTCCTGAAGCGAACTGTGTCCTTCCGCAACGAGCTGAACATGTCAGCTGTTACGTTACGGGTTATTGGCTCATATAGTTAAGCGCTTTTATGGTACCAACAAGAAATGTAATATTCAATAAAAATGTTTTCAACAGCTAATTCCACTCACCTAGAGTTTCATTTTCGAACACCGAATACCGAAAACAGATTTTCAATAAGAAATAATTGGAATCTTGCTTCAGTGTGGCTGGGATTGACTCGAAATTATATTCAATTACCACCACCGGGCGACCTCTCAAAAGAATAGCATTACCAGATAAATGAGCACCCACTGCAACATCTGAAAAAAAGTATCATCTCTTGAAAAATTTGTGAAAAGTTTTGAAGGAAGAATTGAAATGATCAGGATAAACTTTCAAACTAAATATGTAGATCATCCAAAAATGTTGCAAGAGAGTTTCTACTGAAATAATTAGTTTCTCCTACTGACATCTCATTTTACAAAAATCACATTTACTTCTCAAATAATTTGAAATTATGAAGAAGTAAAAGTTTATCTATAAAAGTTTATCTCGTTTCTTGTTTATCACATACCTATACTAGTTCATATAGGTAAGTCCAAAATATGTTATTTCTCTTTAGTGCAAATTGAAAGACGTTAGAAAACTTTTGGATTCACAATAATGTCACGACGATCATATCCAACAATTACAAGCGTTATTTATTATTATAAATAATTGACGATTGAAAAAACTATCGTAATTATGGAATAAGATAAGTCTGTCTTGCTTACTAACTGATACCAGCCAATAAACTCAAAATATTTCATACAAAATTCATATTTTCATCTCTATATACATATCGTTTCCTTACCCGCAATAGGCACCTGAAATAACAAAAACGTTACCTGAATTATCAATACCAAAACAATCATAACATACCAAAATTGGTGACTACTTATCTAAAAACACTACTTGTGGATTGCTCCAAATACCAATGGATCCTAAACCAGTTGTAAAAATTCACAAATTCAAAAGGGGAAAGCTGCCTAAAAACCCCTTAAGATTTCGCGGTCGGGTGACACCGAATAATGTAAAAAATTCCATCACACATAATCGAACCACTGACTTAGAGGTCGGTGGTTAGCTTTGTGTCGACGCAAGATCCCACTGAGAGGGCTCTACATTGGGACGTCATTGGTTGGCTGCCGTCACTTCTAGAGAAGTTCTAGTTGGAGCGCCATTAGTTACCATAGGGTGTGGGGGTGTTATAGTTAGACGGGTGGGCTACAGAGTGTGGGACATCATTGGTTGGCAGCCGCCATTATTGAAGGAGAAGAAGCCATTGTTGAAGTGTTATTGGTTGCTGCACAACTAAGTAAAAATTAGTACCAAATAGAAAAAGTTGATGTCAGGTAAAAAAATTGAAGAATCGAGTATTATTGAACGTTTGCAAGTTGGTGGACACACTTGAAAACCAATAGGCGATGTTGTCATATTGGGAGAATCTGACAAAAACTTTCATCATCCCTTCTCCGAAAGCTCTATATTTTCATTTGTGTTCGATAGATTTCTTTGTTGTTGTAGCATTTGTTTTTGGAATATAACATTGAATAATAAAGAGGTTTTTCTAATACTGACCAATTGCTTACATTGCACCTTTTTTACTGTAACAATCAGCAGCATCGACGAAAGAGTCTTAAGTGACAACAAAGATTAATCCCATGCATTCTTTGCTACTCTCACTTTCAAAACAATAGTGCTTTTTCTTTTTGAAAATCCTCCGGTCTGTAAAATCACAGGCAAGTGGGTACAGTAAGTTACAAAGCGTTCAGTTGATGACACTGCCAGGATCGACTTGAATAGAAAATTCGTAGCAATTATGCACAAGTCTTCGTTGAAGGCTCCACAAGTAATAATGCATAAGGAATGAATTTTTGAAATATGCTATCGTGCGAGAGAAGGTCAAATTGGTGCCAATGCTATCAGATTCTTTGAACGATATCTGGTAAAATTTATTGTAGATTTTACATTTCAAAGTATTATTATTGGAATTCACCTTATTTGAATGAACGTTTCGATGTCAGCAATTTCTTAACATCCTCGAGAAAATTTGATTATAGGCAATCACTTGATCGAAACAGTGAAATTTCGCTCCTTTGGTTGGAATTGAATTTGTAAGAATGAAACGATCTTATCGTCAATTCATATTCCTTCCATAATTCAATACAAAATGATCATCTGAGAAAGGAAGAAAACATTTGTTGATACTATTCACTTTTAGCAACTGCGACATGGATGAAAGATTGAGAAAGATATTTTTGGAACTCGACCAAGTTTATTAGCAGAATTATCTATTGCAAAAACTGTAGGTACTCAGAAATCAACGTGGAACCATAAATATGTTAGTCCCAACATAACGAATATACTTCTTGCTGTGCGATTCAATCATAGTATACTATGGTTCTATCGTACATTCGATATTTTGGTCATTTACGTGAAAAAATCCCAAAATATCTAAAATATCATATAATTCAATGTTCATATACATGCAGTTGTTTCAAATCTATTTCTTGATGTAAATCAATGATCATGTGAAAGTAGTTGTTTTGGGAGGGTTTATTTTTCAGATTGTAGGTATTTGAAAGAAACTATATACACATCATTGTTGATAGTTTATTTTGAACTTGACTGCTTTCGTTCTTCTTTCGGAAGTATTTCTCATTTTTTATTTGAAGGTGGAGATGTAGAAAGCCAAATTAGGATCATCGAAACATTAGAAGTTTATTGGCAGATAATTTGTGTGTACCGATTTATATGATTTTGTATACCCCAAATGATGAAGATGAGGTTCTTGGAGGCGACATTATTTGTCGAAAATCACTTTCATTTTTGTAATGCTGATTACCAGTTTGATGAATCTAATTCAAGTAATTTATATCAATTGTGAGTAGAAACAAATGGCGTTTTTAATGAATCTCACAGAAACTTTTCCATACACCAAATCTGTTATTTTCAAGAGACTTGTTCGGCGAACCCTATACCTATATGCTAAGAACTAGAAAATGCTCTATATATACTGTTTTCAATGGGTGACGAAAATAAAAACAGTTTCAATTGGATACATGATTGACTTTCAAAGTTAACAGATTTTTTCTATATTCCAGTTCATATTAATTTTCGAAAAATGTTCTTGATCATCAATAATGAGAGTACAAAATGATAACTACAGATATAACCGATGTAACAGATAAAAACCGAGAATGGAATTCCCAATTCCACAATCTCACTCAATGATCGTTAGTCGACGGTTCTTACCTTTGAATTTATTTCTGTCAATATCTACAGCTCTAGAGAAGCTGATTCCAAAACCTCTTAGTCCTGGATAAATATTTTTTCCATATATCTTTTGAGAATGGATATCACTCAAGCCGAATTTGTACCCTTTATAAATATATACGGCTCCACTTCCTTCATTTTCGTATGGTGCTCCAATTGCAACGTCTGAAATTTTTTTTTTAATTATTACTCAACTTTGACTGCTAATAGGGCCTCATCAAATATGATCACGCAATAAAAATAAATTGTAAAATTACATAAAAAATGTTGGCAACCAGTTGCCAACGTTATATTATGTACTTTCACATTCGATTCGATATAATACACACTTGATGTAAATTTCATAACATGATAATTTATTTGAATATACTCATTAAACTCGTAGGTAATACTTGTAGTGAAATTACGTAACTTTAGATTTGAATTAGATTTGAGGTAGAGATGCTTATTGCTTTTGAAAAATATGAACATAAGCAGGGCCTTTATTCACATTGCTCAATGATAATGAAATATTTAACTACTTAATTCAGAATAGTGTGAAAGCTATTTTACGTTTTTTTTTGACCATGGTCTGCAGGAAATAAAACCGTGGAATTAAATATAAGATTCTTATAGTTATAACACGTTATCACACGGCAATAAACTTAAAAAATACTTGTGCGACGACAAGCGGACAACTCTTTATCGACAGTTTCTTGCAGAATGACGGCGAACGCGTGAATCACAAGACGCCTAGAATACCCATTTTGATAAAACAATTTTATTATTTGCACATGCTGTTGAATACTATAACCGTTCACAGTGATTTGGCTAAACAAACCGAATAAATGGCAACTAATTTGACAGATGGCCGTTATCAATTGTCAAAGTTCGGAAGTCCCTGTTGGAAGACCCTATATTCACGTCCACACCACATGACATTACACTAAGAGAAAGAACTATTATGTAATTTACATATTTTTTCTTGTTTGATAAGTACTAGTTGGCGAAAAAATTAATCAATTGGAAACACTTTCCCTCACCAGAACAAAAATGCTGTGTTTTGACGCGCGTTTCGCTAACCGAATTGGTATCATCAGAGGCTGACTACAACTCATAAAAATATGTGAACCATAAAATTATTTCTACTTTTTCATGTACTTATTTCGGGTTCTCGCTCAAAAGAAGTCGAAAACGCTACATTATTTTCTAGTGTCCTACTTAATGTAGGTAAACGTTGTGTTCATTTTGAAAAATTATTTGGTTTTGAAACTTTAATACAACCTTCCATGAATTTTTGGATTCCGGAATATTTCTATATATAAAGCGCTTTTCATAATGCATCATGTTTTTCAATAGTACCTACCATTAGTACCAATTGTTATTGTTAATGACCTAAATACATGACAACTGGACTAATAAGATAAATATCAAAACTGTTTATGTTTGCAAAAAAAAGTATCCTTATGACCTACTATATATAATTCAAACCTTTAATAATACAAAATTCCATAATGACGTGCTAATGAATGAATTTTATTTTTTCAAGCGCAAATTGTAGGTATAGTCGAAGTAACCGATATAGTAACTCTTAATCCTTTGTATTGGTAAAAACCAATACAAAGGATTAATGCCGCTACGAATTAATCCACGTGGACTGAAGAATTGGCGGTTCGTATTGGATAATTTTTACTTACCGAGTTTTACGATTGGCTGAAGAGTAATAAAATTAAATTTGAAGTCATGTTACGGTGACCAATAGAATGTGTGGATGGTTAGAAGAGTCGTGTTGTCAATGTTCAGTTCAGGAACTGATCGCGATTTGAGTGTTGAAATTCGATATTGGTGAAGTTATAATTACCTAAAATTTTTGTTATTTGTTTAAAATGTGGCGTCCTTGGACAAGTACTAATAGTAATAACGAGTGTGATAACAACGCAGACTTTTTCNTTAGGTTTGCTTACTGGTACTGTTCTGATTGGGGCATGGTTATCAAATAAAGCGAGCAGAACGTTATTGAAAAAATCGATTTTTTATCGAGATCATTAATATGGAAAATATCGTTGAGTGGTGTGTTATTCAAGTCCTCAAGGAATCTGTTGAGGTGGAAGTTCTTGAAATCCCCACAGGTAATAAAGTTTGGGGTCACGCTGAAGTTTTTCAATTTTCATTCTACAAAATACATCTGTGATCTGATATATTACTAGCATCAAGTACTCCGAAGGTGCTTATGAGACTGGAGTTAGATAGGAAAATGGGGTCTAACAATGAGACCGATGTATCACATACCCTTGTGGGCTCATTGATTATTTGCTTGAAGTCATAGGCACCAAAACATTAGCTGATGATATTTTCGGATTTGAGTAGGTCAACTTTCATATCGCCTAGACAGATAATTTCGTCTACAGTGGGTATGATTTGCGAAAAGGACTCATCAACATCACTTATGAATTGATTAACGTTTCCAGAAGGTGGTCTGTATATATTACCTATGGCTATTTTACGATTGTTTACTTTAATCTGTATTCAGAGTTGTTCAATATTATCATCAAGAGTGAAAGGAACATTATATCTAGAACATGAAATATTTTTATTGACATAAAGTGCAACACCTCTACCGCGAGATCTTGTTCTGTCAGACCTGGAAAGAGTACAGTCTGACATAGATACTGTGTCATCCCTTAGGTCGTTAGTAAGCCATGTTTCAGTTATCGCCACAATGTCATAAGACTGAACAGCATTTTCAAATTCCTGAAAAGATGATACCAGAGATCTGACATTCAAATGCCATTTCCGTTGATTCAAGTGTATACTGGTAGATAGTAGTCAGGTACAATTAATATTAAGCGATTTTAGAAGTAATTAAGTTTGTATTGCTGATTGAATTCGAAATATTACGTAGATGAACTGACGGCTGCTTCTGACCTCAGGAAAGTTTTCCAAGATCCTTTTCATGCTTCAACTCATGTAATTATATTTCTTTCTACAAAAAGTTTGGACANGATAGGTGGAAGCACTCGAATTACGATTGTGGATATACTAACAATTGAGATTAATAATTTTTAATTTTCATCTCGTGCTAATAGTTCAATTTTACGATTTTTTATTGTTGTTTGTATTTTATTTCACTGTAATTTCAGTTTTTTTGCTTGATATAATTTTTTTTCAGCTAATCATGTTAATTTTTTATAGATTCTTTCAGGGATTCCGAATCAATTTATTCCATATTAGACAATGGAAGTCCGAACCAATTGAATGCACCGCGAAAAATTGTCAACCACCTTCAAACAGTTTGAAACAGTGTTATTGTTCTACAACAGACGTGTCGACTGTGAATAATCAGCTGAGAACTATTTTGAACAGATTCGGATCAGTAGGTAAATATATTTTTCAAATAGGGTTGAAGGATGTCTGTTTTCAATAAACTAATTTGATATTTTGATAACAAAACAATTGTTACATTATCATTCAAAAATAATAATTTCAATAACAAACTGTGATTGGTTTATGTAAAAGATTCTGATAGAATTGTGATATTTTTTAATTACCTGACCACCTAAATAGCAGTATACTTTTCCTTCGTTGAAAGAATTACCCTTATAAAATGGTGCTCCAACTATGAGGTCGTCCAAATTGTCGCCATTTATCCTTCCCGAACCAAGTGAAGCACCAAAATATTCACCAAATTGATGTCCTATCAGTGTTGTGTTGATAACTATTGGATTGGAATTCGCAAATTGGAAAACGACAACCTGTAAAAAGTAGAGCTGAAGAAAAATAGCAGTAACAGAAAAACAAACAACAAATAGTTTTTTTTGGAATACCTACACAATATAAAAAAAAACAAAAAGAACATTAGCAAATTTCACGAATTCACTTGAACGAGGAACATATGAAGTATAATTGATAATAGGTAATATAACACTTCATTTTTTTTTTCGATTCTAATTTGCTGAAACTTGAATATTTCGTTAATTGTTCATGTTGATTTCTGTCCATTTGTGTTGGATAAATTCATCAAAACAATGTCACACTTTGATTTCAGGATAATTTTTTTTCTGATATCAATGATATCTGCATACATAAAATTAGACCCAGCGCCGATCTCTGGGCTAAAGCAGTGAAACAGTTCAGATGATTTGATATAATATCTTTTATCATACCAATTTCTTCACTCAGGTCTTCAGTTCATTTGGAAATGTTCCGGTTTTTAGGGAAATGTTTACTATGGGCATAGATCAATCTATCTCTTGGGCTCGTATCTTCTTGCAAGGCTGAATTCACCGAAAATGTATTGCAAGTACCTACTTAATACATCTTTGAAAACATCTGCGTATTTTCTTCGAACACATAAATTGGAAGCTTTTATAGCTGCATTCAGGACTTTTTTCAATCGCAGAGGAAAAAACACACCTTTTCTCCCTCTGCAGCACTAATTGTATAGCAGAGAAAAAATTAATTGATTTTTACTCTCATAAGGCGACCGACCACGAAAAAATGAAATGGTGATGTGCTCATTTACCAATTTTTTTCTATTTCATTATTTGAAAGTTTATGTTTCAAATAGTACATCTGCAAAAAATCTGAATTTTCACTCTTTATCTTCCCCTACAAATTAATAGTTGAATGTGGCGTTCACCGAAACGGGGCGTGGTCAAACTTGACGTCACATCANGGTTGAAATTCTCCGTGTGTTTGTGGATCTCTATTGCCTCCCGTACCAGTCGGCTATGGTATCCCTGGTTGGGGGCAATTAGTTCTGTGTTTTCAAACAAAATTCTGTGGTCTCCTTCACTAAGTGCATGTTCTGCCACAGCTGACTTGTCCGTTTGGCCTGGTCTGCAGTTCCTTTTATGCTCTTTTAGTCTTGTTCCCATGGCTCATTTGGTGGTTCCGATATATACCTTTCCACAAGTGCACGGTTTGCGATAGACCCCTGCTGCTGATAACGGGTCTCTTTTGTCTTTAGCCGACCTGAGGCTTTGTTGTATCTTCCTCGTGGGTTTGAAGACTGTTTCGATGTCGTGTTTGCCCAATAGTTTTCCAATTCTATTACTTACGAATGAACATCTCCAATCAATTATTAAAATTATTACAACAAATATGATACCTGACATCAATGAGATTGCCAAAAACAAGAGAAGTCAGGTATCTGGATCCTCGAGCTTAAAATAATTGGGTACCCTCTTTTATAACTTTGATTTAATTTTTAACAACCATATATTGTATACTATATGATTGAATAAATAAAATATTATGATAAATCAGTACATTTTCTTATTTGAATATGGCCTGCCCACACATTCTGAATTGAATATATGACCCTCTGCAAAATTGAGTTTGACACCTCTGTGCTAAATAATCTAATTCTCGCATGAGTTATGTTATTCAAGAATCCAGTACCCAAGACATTCATGAACTCATAAATATAATTGATGAACATTTTCTTTAGGGATATTGAACTGTGACCCGTGCCCGTAACAGATATCATAATCACAAAAGAATTTTAGAGAATTAGCACCATCTTTTCTTCTTCATGAGCTGATGTCAATAGCAAACGTTTTAAATGACGCCATCATATTTGAAAGAGCTGTTCTACGGGATCATGTGTTTTTCACTTATCTATATTGACAAAATAGATTCAAATTCAATTCAACTGTTGGTGTTTTGATGGTGGCTCTCAAAAAATTTGTCCCCATTTTTTAAGGAAACCAATTTCTTTAGGAGATCCCAGCTTAGGTTTCTACAAAATAGTTCCACACTTGATGCTGTCTTGAAAATTGTAACTGATGTAGTTGAGTGCATTGATGTAGGAAATCTCACTGTAATCACACTGCCATATCTCGAAGGCAGATGATTGTGTCTCTTATGATGTCTTAATAGAAAAGTTGTATCATTATGGAGTACAAGGAATACTTTTGAATATTATTCAATTTCTCTAAGGTAACCGTTTTCAAGCAGTTTCATTAAGCAATATTACATTAGAGTTAAAAACCTGTCATTATATACGTCAATGATCTTGATGGAACTTTTACAATTATTGAACTTTTCTTCATAGACAATGGCCTATCTTGGAATCTACATATTGATTTGAAGAAAAAAATGAATTGTTCACATCTATTTTCATTCTTGGTCAGTTGAAAACCATAACAAGTAGAAGTACATTGAGAATGACATTTTCATTTTTCATTCACATAGTTATGGATTTGTTCTTCGGGGTAACGCAAGAGATGCAATTAATATTTTTAGGTTACAGAAAAGGGCTGTACGTATTGTAGCTCACCATTGCCAATGCCAACCTTTATTTCGGAAACTGAGAATTTTACCGCTTCCATCTCTTGAAATCTACAAGAAGTCAAATGTCAAAGAAGGAATGTGAACAATATATAATATTCTATCTGAGGGATTCCTGTACGTTAATGAATTATGGAGAACCATCAACCGCGAATGATAGAGCACCACCATCACAAAGAGGCGGAGATTGAACCCCCCAAAACATCCAGTAATGCAGACATGCCAGAGCTGCAATTTGACTGTTGCAAGCAATCTATGAATGTACATAGGAGAACCTTGCCGAATGAATGCATGTGTGCATTGTGGAGAGGGTGTTTAAATTGTAGGCACCGTTATCAAGTGTAAAATTGTGAGCTACAGGGTGAATAGCCGAAACTACTACATGAATTATCCCACATTATTCAAGAAATTGAAGCAGAAAGTATTGAAACTATTCGAAGAAGTGTTGGTGATTAACAATATTGTAAAAGTTTGGGCGCTACAATCTAAAAACTAGAGAGTATTCAATATTTCCAATCGAGTTATAGATCAATAGAATGATTTAAATGTGGAATATAACACTTTTGCTGTCTACCTAGGCATTGAAATTTCAAGATCGAGATTCAGGTATATGATCTATTCACATCATCAATTGAGTGTGTGAAAAAAAAACCATATTCTTTCAGGTTGGACAATCGAGAACACCGAACACAAATTTCAGAATACCTGAGAATATTTTGAAATTTGAAAATATTGAGAAATAATTGAAAGTTTCATTCCTTATATATGCTGATTTCGAATCTATTTTGAAACCAGTTCAAACAAATGAACCAAATCTTGCTCACTCTTTCACGAATGAAACTTATATTCATGAACCATATGCTTTCTCACATCTCTGACGTAACAAATATCTATCACAAATATTTGAAAACTGTTGTTCAGAATGGTCCTTTGACTGCTGAGGAAGATGGTGATATTAAAGTCCGTGATCACTGCTATCTTACGGGAGGAAAAATGGAGCTACATATTCCATGTGTGATCTCAATTCCAAATTGTCCAAATTCACGAAAAAAATTTCATAATCTCAGTGGGTATAACTGTTACTTATTCAAGAAGTAGTTATGTTTGATCTCATCGCTCAAAATAAAGAGAAATATGTTTTTTTCACGAAACATCTATTCATGGAAAACAAATTCTATCGGAATGGGAAAGTAAAAAATATTTCAAATTGGGATTTATCAATAGTTTAAAATTTCAGCTACATCCCTCCAAGAGTTGGACGATAATTTTGATGTGAAATATTATTTAGAGACTAGAACATTTTTTCCAGAAAATGATAAATTCCAGCTAATAAAGCAAGAAAGTATTTCTTCATACAACTTTATTCATTGTTTGGATGAATTGAATTTTTCAAGTATACCATCGAAGGTGGACTTTTATGATAAACTGAATGAGAAGCATATTTTTGATGAAGATTATGATAGAGTACAACAGGAATGAGACATGTTCAATTGTCGTGATTTAGGTGATTATTCTGACATATTCTTGAAACCTGACGTTCTGTTATGTTTAATTTCGAAAATTTAAAAAATATGAGTTTGATCACATATAATTCGGATCTTGCGTCTTATTTCACATCTTCAGGTATACCAAGGGATTTTATGTTGAAGCATACCGGTATTGAGTTAGAATTATTAACTGATTATCGTACGTGGATGTAGAATTCCTTCGGGGACGCTTCAATCATCTTCGATACTAACCCAGGTCAGATAGAAGGATGAACTCCTGAGTTCAAAACAAGTGAAAAAAGAACACTGAAGATGTGAATTAGATTTATAAGTCGAAAAAGGAAGTTAAGAGAAGAGGAGATCCAAGGTGGAGGATGATGAGCTGAGTGCTTCCATAATGATGCGAAAAGAATACAGACATTAAAGCCTGAATCAGCACATCCCACAGTGAAAGTAATCGCAGTACTCTCCAGCGCGCCACATGGTGCAAGTGGTTACAGCAGATGTCCACCACGAAGCCGGTCCCGCAATCCCACCAACACCACCCTAGGATAGGAGAGGATGCTGTGGAAGTTCCTCTTCCACAGTCTGCTATTGAGGACAATAAAATAATGGATTTCATGTCCTGAGCACAGTCTGCGAGAAAGGAATTATCTAACGTGGAGGAGCTCTATGATGAGTCCGATTCCCTGCGGAGAGCCTGGATTGCAGAAATGGCGAATATATAGGCTCAGAAGCGTGAATTTGATAGGCGACTTTCTCTCATTGAAGCAAATCTTTAACAGGAAGATACACTACAAAGAGAGAGGTTAACATACATCGAGAAACACGAGCCTCGTGTGTGGAGTTTTTTGATACTGGTAAAATAGTTCTCAAAAGTCTTCGATTCAGCAGTTCTGACGGTGATACATTTAAAATTAGTACAATCATTTTAAAAATTCATTTGGAGGTAAAGTTCGAATATTTTTTGAATGCATGACTTTAAGTTGACACATCTCACAACAATAATGTGAGAGTTATTTATAAAAAATATTTTTATACCTGATAAAAAGTGAAAGTATTGTTCAACAAGTATTATTCTTAAATAAACCTTTGACACTTCTCATTGAATTATACAAACAAATATCCGATAGTACTACATCAAACAAATATTTTCATATCTTAAAAAAAAGATTCAAGTAATGATCAACTAGATTGATTTCAAGAAACATTTTGACACTTCTCATATTAAAACAAATAACAATGATGATAGTACTTATAGCAAACAAATATTATTTTAATATCTGAAAAAATAAATGGTAAATGTTTATGATTCATGAGTATGCGTCTGTGAAGAAAAAAAGAACCCATTCAAGAACTCAGAAGGTGTGAGATTTTGTGGAATGATATGATTGTTCTGGAGTATGACCTCATAAGATTTTAACGTCTTTCACATTTATATTGATGGTGTGTTGTTAAATTGACGAAAATACTCAGCTTTTGCTTCTGAATTGTTTGATTGCTGATATTACGTGTTTGTCCGAATTTCTGTGACATTTTGTTCACTAGAATTTTGTAAATGCTTCATATAGTTAATACTGAATTTTGATGACCTCTATCAGCTACAGAAACCTTTCCTTGTCACTCTGGATGTTATTATGGGAATCTATCCCTTGAATAAATGGTTTGGACAGTTTATTAGAAAGGATAATTCATCAACAATTCTTTCTAGAACAAAAATTCGAAAAACCAAATATAGTTGAAATTATCGAAATTATTTAGATATTTCTGTTGCATGAAGATTACATTTCAACTTCAGTGCACAATAAACTATCGCAAGTATCCTCTTGAGCAATCATATAGTTCAACGAAATTGTAAAGGTAGCTGTGATATTGTGGTGAACATTGAATGACTCTGATATATAATATAACATTTTAACGCACTGCCACCTTCATTGAACAAATTTATATTGGTTTCTCCTATACACATGATTTCATCAACAGAAGGAACAATCCCTCTATCTTAAGATCAATAAGAATGACGATTTCGATTCACTCCTTTTTTTGTGATAGTTCTATTGAGTTCTGATGACGATAGCTTATTCAATCGATCCCAGCGTACTGATCATTCTGTTGATCAGTACTCAGTTGTTGTTCTGTTGATCAGAAAACATATTACCCAGTAAATCGAAAGCCTGGTTCACTCTAGCGTTGGGGACTTCAACTTTCTTCAGAGGCTCTACAATAATAGTTCCTCTTCTTCGCCTACTGGGATCTGGATTTCTATCTTCCTCATCACTGACTCGCAGTGGTGTACCCGCCCAATTGAAAATACCTGGAGCTCCTAGAATTAGCTCATTGCGTTCCTGAAATTGAAAACTTTTTGAGTTGGATTTCAACTGTGACTTTTGACTTAAGGACAATACTTTTGTTACAAGTAGAGATTACTAATAGATCACTCAGAAAACCAAAGAAACTAAGAAAAAATTCAAGATATTGGAAGTACCTCATTCCTATTTTCCATTACAGCCTCAGCCTGACTTCTAGAAATAGGTTTCAAAATGAAATGAGGATTTCATCGACCTTTGAAGGTCTGAAAAATATAAAAATTATAATGGAAAACTTCATACAAGTGTAGAAAGGGCAAACTTTTTAGTTTACCCCGATAAGTTACTGCGTAAAATCAAAGTATTTTTCACAAAAAAAAACGTTCTATGTATCAGTATCTTGTCATATTTAACAATTTCGTCTTTCAAAAAAACTGCTAAGAAATAATACAATAGTTATCTTTACGTTTCGGAAGCCAAAATCTACCTCCATCTTCAGAAATAGACAAAAAAATTCTAAGATATTTGCAGTTATCCTTTTTGATTATTCATTTCTCAACTCCTTCAACTGAAATATGGAATTTCATATTTCAAAACTACCCAAAAAAGGTCGACGAAAAACTGATTTTTCCCTACAAAAATTACTTTCGTTGAATATATAAAATGAGGATAAATCGTAATTTTTTTGCCACTGAAAGTCTCTCATTTTATAAGTTCCGAGAAGTATGTGTACATCAAAAATTGAAATTGTTTAAATAAAAAATAATGCAAAGTATCTAATGACTTCAAATATATCGTCTAACATAGGTGTAGATTTGTTAACCGAGATATAGCAAGTGATTTAATTTCTACAAATTATTTGCTTTCGTAAAATAAATTATCAAATCCACAAAATTGATTATATCAATGTATGCGAATGGAATTTTCGGAAAAGGGACTTAAGTGAGTCCGGGATTCGTTTTTTTTTCCAATTTGACTTTCGCACTTTTACGTATTGGCGGTCTATGGGGCATGTATTGATTATGAATTATTCAGGTTGCTCAAAACAATTGTCTACGTTCAATACGACGACATTATCTCCAAAGAAATTGATATAATCAATAGAAGAATCGATAAGATAACATGCAATTTCACTTTATGGAAATTAGGAATATTCTAGATCTGAATAATCTTACAACTGCTGACCGACCTGCAGAATGCAACCCGTACTAGCTACCAGGACTCAAGTTCTATTCCACCCTCATGGAGAAGTTACATTTTGAATACAACGAATATCTATGACAGTCATGATGGGTCAGCGACACTCGACACCGCCGACGAAGGTAAAATTTTTATAAACTCACACTAATATTTATACACTATAGATAAACATAATCGAGATTATCTCCAAAAAATTACCTCAACCGCTACCTAAGGTACCTCTTCAATTATGATCACCTGAAGCATATTACCACACATCTACATCAACTATAATTCTTTCTCGATATAAAAAAAAACACTTTCAGTAATGGTGATCTATTCAAATCCAGTTGGTCATTCATTACAATGTTTGAATTTTCAAGTTTATCAATTTCCATTGCTGGATTCCTGGTTCAGATACGGTCCTGTGTGAGTCCAACCACCATCAATCGACTCAGAGAAGAATCATCAAGACTCTACTAGACTGCAATTTCGGGCCCTTTAATACAAAGAAAGGTCTCGAAAAGAAACTAGTCATCATCAAAAATGGTTACTTCAAATTGATGGTGAAATAGGCTTTAGCTAGAAGACAGCAAGAGCTCCACAAGGAACAGAAGCCGCCACAACCAGTACTTGTACTTCCCTACATCAGAGATTTGTCGAAAAGGGTAAGAAGGATTGAATCCAAGTATAACATCAGAACCCGTTTCAACTCTGGGAACATTATCCATAGCAGCCTCACGAAAACTAGGCCACCAATCGAGGACTGCGATTCCAAGAATTGCATTTACCGGATAACCTGCGAGTGCGGTAAATCGTACATCGGTGAAACTATCAGGCCATTGAAAGTTCGCATTGCCGAGCACAAGAAACACACATAGCAAGAAGAAACCAGCGAATCAAGAATAGCAGAGCATGTTTAGACTCACCAACATAATATCAAGTGGGCTCAAGCTGAAATCATCACAAGGAGGAACACTGGCTTAGGAGAAAATTCAAAGAAGCCGCCAAGCTAGCATAAAGATACGCAACATATGGAAACCTCTAATTAAGCGAGACACGACCAACTCCCGCCAAACAGTCAGCTTCCGCTAAAACTGATGAAACGGAGAGGGGGAAAAGAGGATAGGTGAAAGCACTCGAATGACCTATAAATAATGGAATATCGGAGGAATAAGTCCAGTTATTTCCCGATGACGATTGAGGATACTGACAATAGAAACGTCGTTAAGTAACTTGGTTTGGAATCTTTTAATTTTTATTTCTTGTTAATATTTTTGTAACTTCTTAGTTGTTACTAGTATTTTATTCATTGTAATTTAAGTTTTTTTACTTGATATATTTGTTATTTTTCAGATAATCTTTTTTAATTTTTACTGATTCTTTCAGGAATTTCAAATCATTTTATATCACATTAGACAATGGAAGTCCGAACAAATGAAAAAACAAATTGAAAGTTGATCCGAAAAATAATACTACAATTACAAAATGGTTTATGAGGGAGAATCCTAGAACAACCCACAATTAATTGTTAACGCTTATAGTAGGTTTTTAGAAAACGCTTATTTATTATCTGGTATCGAAGAAGATAACGTTGTTTTCAACAACTTCGAACTTAATAGTTCAATAGATATTAGTGTAGAACTAATAACAGAGATGGAAATATTAGCAGCTGGAAAAAAATTAAAAAAACTTCTTTTGAGAACGTCTGTATTTCTTGAAGTCTGGAAAAATACCAAAGTTTGTCCAATACATAAACCTCACGCTCGAAATGAAATCAGTAATTACAGACCTTTCTCAATCCTCAACAGCTTTGCCAAACTTCTAGAAACAATCTTGTATAGCCGTATCTATCGTTATTTCCGGCATATAACATCTAGTCAACAACATCGTTTAATGAATTCTAGATACACAATTACGAATCTAGCTGTTTTTGATCAATATTTGTGTGAATCGTTAGACCGTAGAGATGTGGTGTACACAAACTTCTCTGAATAATTCGATAGAACCATAAGTTACTCTTTCGTAAACTTTCTTGCATGTGTTTCAATGAAATTCACTGTCAACTGTTGGAATCTTAGCGGGCGCAATCAATATGTATAGTATACATATTAATTGCGCCCGTGTACATTGTATACTATCATGGCTTCTTTTGAAAAATATAATCAGCCACTAGCGGAGTTTCGCAAGGATAAAATCATTGCCCCTTATTGTTTTTTATTATTCAATAACGATCTGTGCAACACTTCAACCTGAAATATACAGCGTGACTCACGGTCGATGGTAGGTTAGACGTTTCTGGAAAACGCAAAGCATGATTTGATCTTAACGAATCCGATTAGTTTGTATGGTGAGTGGTCTTTCAGGTCAGATGCGGCAGCTTACGTGAGATTAAAAATAAGTCTCGTGTGACTCTATAGTCAACGAGTATAGAAAACGTTCACAATCTTTTATTTTATTTTTACTTTTACTTACGGTTTTCTTTTTTGTCATCAAATAGTATATTTTTTTATTAATCATGTATACTTTGCTTTGTAAATAGAAAACTGTTGGGTAATACACGCTATTATTATTGTTATTATCACTGGGCATGTCATCGACAAATATTACTGCGCACAAATCAAGACATACAAAATCATTCAACCATTGAAGGGGCTTTCTAGATCTCCGATTCTTTGAGTGACATGGTGTTAACTTGTTGAATACAGAATTGTTATAAATTCATATCATAATCAAAACTTACCATAGGGAAATGTGCTGAAAATCCGGCTTGTCCTTGTCCATAATAATAAATATACGTTGAACGAAATTCAATGATGCCGGTATCTGAAATACATATTTTTTTTTATGAAACCGCTTCATCCATATTAGCAAAATTAAACATCACCATTCATTATCATCACATGAAAATGTGAACTTGGCAATGAAAAAACAAAAAGGTTTCAAACTCGACTATTATAGATTGTTCTATTTTGTGAATGAGACAATTCTGTTTTCCGAAGCGTGTGTGGAAGCTGAGGAGCTATATATATTGGAAGTACCTCATTCCTATNAGTTTTCTCTGAGTTTCAAAATTATAAAAAATTTAAGAAAAGTTATAATTGACTCTTTAAAAATAAAAAGAAGGTAGCAAATAATAATTTCATTGCCACTTCATGGTGTGAAGAAATAAATCTCTTACTCCAGTTCATCTCCCGATATGTTCAATAACTTTTTTCTGAGTGACGCAAATATAATTATTACGTCCCTTCCAATTGTCTTAAATTTAAATTAATTAGATTTTAAAAATTTTACAGTTCCCTGTACTTCATTTATTTTAAACCCAGTCACTTGAAACGATGTTCTCCATGCGGTGAATTCATTAAAGATTTTGAAATGTCTTGATGCATATGGATTCAATAATAGAATCATAAAAGACACAATTGAAATTATCTTACAACCACTCACACAACTTATCAACACTATTTTCAGCACCGGTATTTTTCCTGACGTTATTGGAAATTTCAAATAATACCTTCATTTGAAAAGGCGATATTTTGATTAAAAACAAATTTGTCCCCATTTTTCAAGGAAACCAATTTCTTTAGGAGATCCCAGCTTAGGTTTCTACAAAATAGTTCCACATTTGATGTTGTCTTGAAAATTGTAACTGATGTAGTTGAGTGCATTGATGTAGGAAATCTCACTGTAATCACACTGCCATATCTCGAAGGCAGATGATTGTGTCTCTTATGATGTCTTAATAGAAAAGTTGTATCATTATGGAGTACAAGGAATACTTTTGAATATTATTCAATTTCTCTAAGGTAACCGTTTTCAAGCAGTTTCATTAAGCAATATTACATTAGAGTTAAAAACCTGTCATTATATACNTAAAAGCTGAAAAAATTGAAAAATTAAAAATATTAATAACAAAAAATGAAAAAATAATAAAAATTAAAAGATTTCAAACCAAGTTATGTCACAACGTTTCGATTGTTAGTATCCACAATCGTCTTCGGGTGATAATAAAATTGTTATTTTCGGTTAATCTTTTTGATTTTTTCAGGGTTATCAAATCATTTTATATTATATTACACAATGGAAGTCCGAACTGATGAAATACACCACGAAACATTGTCAACCATCTTCAAACAAATAAAATCTGTTATTTTCAGTTTTTTGCAAATATCTCAGAAACCGTTGATGATTTTGTAGATCTGAAAATACCAGTGTGTTGCATCCCTAAATAGGCAAGCACATGAAATAAAGCAAAAAGTTTCTTTGTCATTTTTTGATGTTTTTGAAAATGGAGGCGGTAGAGCAAACAAATAAAATTTGTCATTTTCAGTTTTTTGCAAATATCTCAGAAACCGTTGATGATTTTATAGATCTGAAAATACCAGTGTGTTGCATCCCTAAATAGGCAACTTATGTTCCTTTAACCGTCCTTGTAGGATCTACCGTTTCCGAGATAGCAATAGTGGTATCACCTAAAAAATACGGCCTGTATATATAGATAGATAGATATAAATCCGCTCGATTGCTATCTGTAATGGGTTGTTCTTCGGCTTCCAGACTTACGAAATCAACTCTGATTTGCATTTGACTGAAAATTCTTCGGCCATTGTGATTATTGGTGACATTGCGCCAACTCAAATCGTATTCAAATCTCTGAGGTCAGGGACGTTGAATGTCACCCTAATTTCTTTTACTAATAGATTAATTTTCTCTCTGATTGGGAGGCGTATAGGAATAATTATTATTGACTCTATTATTGGTGGAATTATTTTATAGTATATGCATCTTTTGTATCGCAAGTATGTCGTCTTCAATTAGAAAACAATATCTGATTAAAGTTTTTACATTTTTGATTATTCTGCCTCTCAAGTGTTATTTGATTCCAGGAACGAGAAATTCTAAGATGATCCTCAAAATGACTTCTATATTCGGAATGATTCCGTTCGCAAAAGCTATTTTCTCTACTATTAAAATAGTGACATTTTGGCCTTTTTTGTGCGTTTTCATATGAATTAGCCGTGATTATTATTTAATCAAGAACCTGTTCATTGAAAAACTCCTGTTCCAGTTCATACAATTTTCATACTTTAAATTTTATTCAAGATGCGTTTCTCCAAACGGTAGCTTCATCATTATGCCAATTTGATATGGATATTTTATCATTCCTTGAGGCTTTTGAAATAAACTTATTTTGTTAAATTTCTCTCCGATTTTTGAACCGGTGAAACGGTTGTAATCTGAATGTATGTCAAGAAGTTCAAGAACTGAATAATTTTCCAAGGATCTGTGTTTTGAATCCTCGGCAATCAGTTATATGGGTAACTCCGCTATTGTTATTGTGATTTATCGATCACCATCATCAGATATCAAAGAATACATCACACGGCTTGAATCTACTCTGGTTCTCGTTACGAAAAAATATGAAAGAATATTGCTTTGTGTTGATTTCAATGTAGACGGATTGAATGCAAGTTGTAGTGATAACANTCGTGTATAAATATATGCATATACGTGTATCTGTGTAAAAATTGATATAGTGTGTGTATATTTTGTAATTTTATATTTATGAGTATAGTGTGTAAATTTTATTTTTATATTCATGAATAGCGTCTCCATTGCATAATTTGTATAAATGACCTATCTATATCTACTTGTATATAAACCAACATATTTCATATGGCAAAAAAGGTAATAAATGAATTGAATTGAATCTCATAAGAAACAATGTTTAATTCAATTTGAATTTACATTTTTCACACGTAGTGTACCTAATTCAGAACTAATTTGAAAAATAGTGTACTTACTATATTCAAGTAAAGGTTCGATTCTCTCAAACGCGCTTGTGTTCAAACTTGACCAATAACAAGCTCCCATCATTCTGTAATCGGGAGATGGTCTAGTATACTCATAAATTTTTCGGAATCCGCATATCTGCAAAATATTATTGTAAGTGGTAGTGAGATATAAAAAGGGGAACTATGGCACACTTGGAAAAGTATGTGATTGTATTCAGGAGAATGTATTTTCTTTCCATTCAATTTCCATATTGTGATTTATGTGTTATTCAATATTTTTAGGAATTTGAAGCTGATTCAAATAATAAGAGTGGAAAATTACCAAAGTAGCTTGTGTTCGACATAGCTGATGAACAAGTTGCAATTATTATTGCGATATTGATGTGACAATTTCGACAACGCCTGCTCGAATGTTTGCAGACTTATTTGAATAAATTTTGAAGATTATCTTGTTATTCATCTACTCATTTTGAAAATTGTTCTTAATATTCGTTATTGCTTATTATAACAACTGCAAACACAGAATGAATGAAAGCAAAGAACTTCACAATCATAGAATTAGGAACAAACTGCTTGCTATTTCCAACGGGTTTGGATCCTTCTGGTCGGTAGCTAAAGCTTGTGATGCACTGTTTGGAACCTTGGGTGTACTAGAATTTCATCATAACACCAAACCATTATTTTAACACCTTGAAACGTGTTTCGATTACCAAGTGATCATCTTCAAGAAGAATAATAAGTATTTCTCTTCGATAGCTGAAGCTGTTATTCAAAACTCCACAAAATCCACAACTCCACCACTAACACAAGTGAATGGTTCAATTCCAACAGCAGCCAAAGATAAAGCGAATATACTAGCTGAACAATTTCTGGGACAGACACCACCCACTAGATACACCCACACTAGAATCCGCAATGCCGGAAATTACTTTTCGACGTCTCATCAAGCGAAATTTGAATCAGCTTAATTTCGACAGGGCGTCTGGTCCTGAAGAAGTGCCCGTCATCGTGTGCCAATGAACTCGCACCAGTAGTTTGTAGACTTTTCTACCTATCTTACAAGAGAGGTTTTTTTTATGTTGGAAGATTGCCCGCGTGCAGCCTATTCCCAAGAAAAATCTTCCAAATAACTATACCAGTCAATTGGCTATCAGTAATATCAAAAATCATGGAGAAAGCCATAAACCACCACATCCTCAAATATTTGAAAAGTTTCAACATCTTGAGAGATCATCAATATAGCTTTCGACTGTCTATGGCACGAGAGTTTGCTGGTCAAACTTCGATGCCTATGGCTTCTCGGATCATTTTTGTGTATGGCTGTCCAGCTTTCTGGAAGAACGTTTCCTACGAGTGAACGTCAACGGATATATCTTGAATACATTTACCAGCAACGCTGGTACCCCTCAGGGATCCGTATTACCTCCAACCCTCTTTATATTATATATTAACGAATTAGTGGAAAAAACAAGAATCCAAAATAGTGCTTCGCTAACGACAGCCTTGTCTCGTCATCACATTTGGATTCCAGGACATCGACTGCGGAAGCACATCTATACCGGCAGCAGGAGGTTGCATATATTAATGAGAATCTAGAGATGATTTCGAATTGGGTTGAAAGTAACCAGGTTCAATACTGAAATACTTTCTAGAATACATTTTCCTAAAATACTTTGGTCAACGAATGTGTTCGATTTTTTCGAAAATTCAACAAAACTCATTGTTCTTGTAAACATTGTATCCGTAACAGCTCTTGCTCGCACAAGTTTTGACTTTTGGGGTTGACCCACAACTATAAGTACTGATGAGAAATTTTCAAAAAACAGGATTCACAATCTGCAGCAGAATCAGCAAAAATTCAGTTTTTTTTTTCGTCAGGAAGCTATAGGAAGTTTACTTCTTGCAGCACACGTTTTGATACTAGATGTTTCATAAGTCAATGGCAACTTGAGCAGATTCAACAATGGCTGATAAGTCGGAGCTGGTGTGGAACCATTATTTCGGTATTCAAGAGCTACTGTGCCTCGAATTGGGAAGATTACCCTGGCGAGAGAAGATCTGTAAATAGTAACGATTATATCTTGCTTGATATGGGACGGTCCTATTAGTTGGTATACCATCATCCATGTAGATAATAGAGGAGCTCTTGGTGTTGCGTTAATGTAATCAATGATTAACAAAATGAGAAGGTTGTCAAAGATATTTGAAGTACTCTATTCGATCAAGCTGTTTGAAGTTTGTTATTATTGATTGAAAAAATATAAGTTTTCAGTTGTCACAAATGATTTTTTTAAATTTATCTTTCATCTCTATTTCTGTTCACTAGATATCATTCCTATTCGAATAGTAACCATCAGAATTCGAAACGTGTGGGAGTGAAGGTCCTTGAGAAGTTACCTTTCAACCTGGGATTCCTCGTTCGGAACGGTAATAACTGAAGTTTCGTATCTTGCTAAAATTTTGATGGCAATGAAGTTACAAGATTACTCACCGTCATTCTGTCATATTTATAGCTAATATCCATCGTACCACCTATAAAGTTACCTTCCCAGTTCTCTTTGTGCTGTGAGCTGTATGACACATCTGAAAAAAAATAGCATACAATTATTGTTATTTCTGTCAATGTATATATTGGTATATGAAATTTCATATTAGAATTATATAGAAATTAAAAAAAGATATGATTTGCAACATGGTTAGAAGAATGGAAAATTGATCTTAGTGATTCTTATAGTTATGAGCCCGTGCACTTCATCAACGTCCATTACGAAAGTTCAAATTACACCAACAATATCTTTAGTGAACCGAAATTGAGAAGCAATAAATCAAATATTCAATCAAATTACTAACATACAGGCCATTTTCAAAGGAACTGATTCGTTTCGTCAACTGGTCCAAACAGATGTGGAACAGTATAATAGATATAAAAGTGAAAAGATAAAAGTTGAGTATTGAAATTCTATAAAACAATCTCAGTATGATTTGAAATCTAATATATTGTTTCGTTTTTTCCCGTGGGTTCACCAATAACTGACTACACTGAATAATCAAACTTAAATTTATTTCAATTCAAATAAAACAAACACTTCAACTAAAAATTCAACTATTATTTGAATGTCTATCGCCTTACTAGATTACTTCGCGTACTTCGCTACCTCGTGGCTAGCTTTTAAATATCGTAATCGAATGTTGTAGAAATTTCGCCGAAGTCGGTAGCATTGTTCTCGCCGATTCTAATAGTGCTGGGGAATCATCGTACATTCGCGCACTCTTAGCTACGTCACGTTTAGTTTATGGTTACCAGTGGCGGCTGGCGTTATTTTATTTCGGGACGACACATCAGTAATAATGGTGACGTATTATAACAGAACCCAACTGACAGTTCACGTAATGTTGTCTATGTTTATGGTTTGTTTTAAATTGTCACAAAGTTGACCAGTTATGTGTTTATTTTGTACAAGAATTAATATACTTTAAATCTCATTGTGACGACCGAGAAAAACAGATCTTTTCCGGCGAAGCCGTAATGCAATTAAGATTCAAAACATCGCGAATGCCTCATTGTTGGTGAAAACTTGGAAAAACGCGATGTCGTGCATACATGTCTTCACGGTAGGCAACTGCAACAAATATTGTTATATGGTTAATAGATGATATAGAAAATGCATGTCTTTTATGTGGCATGCTTTATTTGTTCTTGAGCCTGATAAAATGAAAAATGTCGTTATTACACGCAATTACCAATTATATTGGCATTTGCAATGACCATTCATAAGTCCCAAGGCCAAACAATGTCCGTTTGTGACTTTGATTTGAGCACACCGTGTTTTTCACATGGACAATTATACGTGGCATGCTCTCGAGTGGGCAAACCATCCAGTTCGTTTGTGTTAGCTGAACACACACTGTCAAAAATAGTGTACACGTGTACCAATCACTTTCACGAATGCAATCGTGAGGTGGATTCTCTTATTTCATACATATTCCCGAAAAAATAATTTTTGGGGATGCATTATCTCTTATTTCAGCTGTGAAGACTATCCTTCGTTATAAACGAATCTCGGAGATAATATAAGTATAGTTTTTAATTTTATACTTTCAATTTGCTTGAAATTTCTTGAATTCAAACCAGTTTTGTTATTATTAAGACGGAGCTCAGACCAGATGGTAGTTTCAACTGAATTCATCATGAAGTGTTTTTTATTATGAAAATCCATGACTATGTTGAGAAACCATTGGATTATTTTCTAGTATTTTGCAGACAATTCCTGAACTATTGATTAAATGAGAGAATGCATTAACCTACAGAAAAGGTCCTTATATTCGAACATATTTGGAAAAATCTCAATATTTTCGAAATGTATTCCTCAGTTCCAGTTTGTGAGAAAAATTTTAGTTTTATTTGTAGTACTTGTTACTGTCATGAATTCTTGATATTTTTGATATCTAAGCTGGCAGTTGATGTAAAAATGTATTAGATATACGTTAGAGAATAATAGAAATATCGACGTTAGTGTTCGAAAAAGTTCGGCGTGAGCTATCGGATAGGCTGTTTTTGTGTCAAGAAGTTCAAAGAAACCATTACGAGCACCTTCTGAACTGAAATCAGCTTATTTCCTCAAGTTATGAAGTTAAATGTCGATATATTCAGGTAAATATTTAATGTTCCGCCATTTTTGAGTAGGTGAAGATATTGACTTTATACTCTAGGGTTGTGAGATATTCGTCAGGAGCTCCAAAAGCATGTGTACAAGACCCCCTTTCTATTTAATTTTATCCCAGATGGCGTCCTGTCACCATCTTGAAATTTTCATCTGTCAATTTTACTCCGAAATAGAGTATTCATGCATCAATTTCATTATCCCAAGTATCGATTTTTTGAGTTAACCCATTTTAAAAATAAAACGGTGGGGGAACAATAAAGAAAAGTACTGTATATTGCTTTTCCGGAAATTGTTTCTCAAAATATGTATCGCATCATTGTGAAATTTGTAAATAGTTGAACCCGTTCAATGAAAATAAATAAATATATATTGCTCTCGATATCTTTAATATTTTATAAATATAATATCGTATATAATGAACATTAATTCCCGTAATATTATATTGATAAAGACAATTATTGAAAATTTTTATAAGATCCATGAGATTTTTAATTTATAATACACATTTTTTAGAATCGCCAATAGTTTCGGAGTTATTTCATGTTGAAATTTTCTCAAAACTGTATTCTTGGCTCATTTCTGTGAGATCAATATTTGGTATAAAGCTGGTATGATGTTGAAAAGTGCCCCCAACGGTACTGCTGTTCTATGATTCATGACGTGGTACCTTTAGCGGGTTCAGAGACACGGCGAACGGGAGCTGTCATAAAAGTGAACTTGGTACCTCTCTCGCTCTCAGGGCTCGACCGTGAGTGCAACTGGGCGGATTTAAGACCATTGAAATAAATACCATTATTTATTGTTGATACTAGTTTATTAATACCGTAACCACATCAATAACAAAACAACTACAACCAAAAGTAATTGATAATAATTGTTAACATAAAAGGGTCCATCTACCCCAAGTAGTATTATTCACCTTATTTGAAAAAAAATCTCATCTCAGAAGTTTGTTTAGTTGATTGAATTGTTCGTAAAGGATATTGATAGTGAAATATACTTCAAGAAAAGAATATACTTGAACTTCTAACGCAATGTTTACGTTGTTGATGATCGTCGACCTTTTGACGTCATTTTTTAATACTCAACTCTTAAAACTGAAAAAATTGAAAGCTTGGAGTGAATTATTGTACGCAGATTCTGTTTTTCTAAGTGAAATTAATTATCTAGGTATTAATAGCTATACATCACGTGGTAGATCAAATATACAAGGACGTTGAAGCTGAAAGGAGCTAAAGAAAAAGAAAATATTTTCCAAAAACCAAATACAACTCGAGAATTACGTCAAACTATATCTATGCTACATCATGCTATGCTACTATAGCATAAAATAGTGTTGCGGCAAATAAGTAAATGTGAAATTTANTCAATTCTTCAATATTTTCAAAATTTGTTCTGAATGCTTGATCTTTTATGAAGCCCCACAACGAAAAATCTAGAAGAGAAAGGTCCGGTGGCCATTCAATATGACCATTATTTCCTATCCACCTTCCTGGCATAGTTGTATTGAGGAAATCTTTGCAGATTCTCTTGTGATGTGGTGGAGCTCCGTCGTGTTGGAAATACTCATATTTTCTTATGAGGCTAAGTGGCATATCTTCTAATAACTCAATTAGATGAGTCCCTGATAAGAAATCCAAGTATAATTCTCCGGTCAGAGATGTTTCAAACAAGTGGGGGCCAATAATTTTATTATCAAGAACATCAAGCCATACGTTAACACCATATCTCTCTTGAAAATTGGTAACTATGTAAATATTCATTTTCTTGTCGCCAATGATAATGTATATTCCTGTTGAACCATCTGTTATTGGTAAATGTACTATCATCACACCACAAAACTTTTTTACAAATTTCATTATCTTAGCGAAATTTTCTAATGAGCAATCTATAAAAAACTTTTCTCCTGTTGAAGTCCGTTAAACGCAAATGATGAACTTTCCTGATTCGATAAGGCTTGAATGTATTTTTCTTCAAAATTTTCCGTACAGCCGTAGTGGATATGGCCGAATTATGAGCAATCTCCTTCAGAGATACTTTCTTGTTCTCAATTTTTCTATTTTTCATACATCCTAAATCAAATTAATGTCAATTTATCATTATTGTGAATCTTCTTTGAACTTACCTAAAACGCCAATTTCATTATCGCCACCACATTCAGTAACCGTACATTTTCTTTCAGAGGATTTTTCAAAATATCCATAGTTCCATTAAGTATTTTCGATTCGTTGAAAACATCTATGATTAGGTTGTCGTCGTTCAGGATACAATTCCTGATACATTGCCAGAGATTTGGTAGCATTCCTCAAACATCTCGAATATACAAAAATCATATCCACTTTTATTGCCAGAGATTTGGTAGCATTCCTCAAACATCTCGAATATACAAAAAGCATATCCACTTTTTCGTCATTGGAAAAATTTATGTTTCTTTTTAAAAATCGCTCAACTATTTGAATAACTTTTATTTTGTGTGTGACAATTAACTTGACATCACATTCATGTATTTCATGGCTTACTTCAATAAAAGAAATTATCGCTTATCATGTGTCTCGTGAAAATCATCTATGACTTTTTCAATACAGTATTTTTATCAGTTAATTCTTGTTAATATCCTCATTTTCTGAACAGAAATTTTTGAGTAGCTACAAATTTTCAAAAGACAATTGGAAATTATGAATGGCTTGTTATTGATACAAAGATTATTGGTCTCTCTTTTTCAAGACGACCCTGACAGGAATTCAGTTGGATTTCAATGAATACAATATTATCGACACAACATTATCGACAGGAGAACGCTGGATTTCAGTGACATTCGGAAATTCGAGCTCTTAATAAAAAATGATAGTGATGATGTGGTTTCGGGAAGAAACGTCGGGAAATATAGATGTTGTGATATATCAATGAATTTGTAATTTC